TTGTAAGGAATTACACATATTTGGGACCGCTTAGATCCATTTAGCGGGTGTTTCATATGAGGGGGATGAGATTACTCCCATGATATTCTTTTATACATCTAGTAATGCATAATTTCAACATTACACAAGTAGCTTGAACAAATATGTAGACATATATCTGGTAAATTATAACGACCTCACTGCGACCTCACTGGGAAATCATGGTCCATAAGGGCAATCATCCCAAATTGGCCTTCATTCAGGTTAGTGAATTGTTATAATTTACTGTACCCATATATATATCATATATAGTTATATAAATAGTTTTATATAGTTATATAATATAATTATAATTTTAGGCTGCTTGTAGTTACATACATTCATTCATATATACAACTCCACCTACACCTACACAGTTACATACAGAGTTACATACACAGTTTCATACACATGGACATATGTGCACATACATATACATATACAGATACACATACACTACACATACATATAGATGCACATACACGTACACGTACATCTAAAAACACATGTAAAGACATACATACAGACAAATGCACACACGTATGTAGATTCTTTTGAGATACATATTGTTGGACTTAGACAGGCCTTGCCCCGCTATGGCCATGGGTTGTAACTCTATGTTATTCCAATTGTTTATTGGGAATGCACAATCCCAACTACAGTGATTCATTCGCTACCACAAATCTATCTTTTGGCTCAGAAGTTCTTGACTCACTGGGGTTTCGCAGCCATGACCATGGCTTCGAAACCCCAGTGAGTCCTGGAGAGCAGTTCATTACACTTCTAACGATAGTTACTGTAAAAACACTGAACTGCTTTCCAGAGAATCTTGAATCAGACTGCTGCACAGGGGTGACAGCTTGGACATGTTTGAGACTGAGTTTAAACCTTGACAGGATTTATGCTCTCCAAAGCAGTGACCTTTGGGCATGCTCCGTTGAAAATCAGGACTCCAAGTTCTTGAGAAGCACTTGAATGCTCCTGACAAGTGTGTTTTCTCCGTTTGAGACACCAGTGGAGCAGAGCTTTCAAGACCAGGGCCCATTCTGGGCCCATTCTGGGAACGTAAAACCCTGAACCTGAACTCACCAGTGGCGACCCCTTGCGTTCTTCAAGCCTCCCTGCTGGAAACCGGATCGGCTCATATTTGTTTGCGGTGTTGAGATGACCAAGCCGGGCTCCTTGTAATTACAAGGGTGATGAGTCTAGTGTTGGAGCGCTTGCAAAGAGGGTCATTGCAAACAAGCTTCGGTTCAAAAGCGCAAAGAAGATCATCGCAGGGACCCTGTGGGGTGAACTTTGTTGCGCTTGGCAAATGGGCTTGTTTTTCAGACAAGCCTCAATCTGAACGGGGTGAAAACTAGCTGTCCTGTCCATTTTCTTTACATCAAGCGAGGCTTGTTCCAGGCACCCAGGACACAAGAGAAGAGCTGCAAAACGGGTCCATCTTGAAGAGGTGATGTGACATGCTTTAGCAAGCCTTTGGTTTGTTGAATCGTTATTTGGGGGCTATTTTTCTGAGGTTACCAGCCGTCGGATCAGACGGGGTTTTCTTCGAGCGAAAAACAGAGTTGTTTGATCCGACGACATTTTCCGTCAAGTGGATGGAACTATGAAGGACCGTGTTGATGGAACTAGCTGGGACCCGCAATGCCGTGTACCTTCGTTATAATAACATGCTACAATTCTATGCAACAAACCCTGTTGCCTTATTCAAAAAGCAAGAAGCAGGGTCCCCGTCTCTTGACGGCCTGGCGTTCCCTGGCGTTCTCCGCGGGCAATGTCCTTGTGCCAGATGTTGCCTGGATTTCAACATCTCACACAAGGACATTGCCTCGCGGTCACAATAACGTGGCTTGGCACAGTGTTGAAGTGGTGTTTGAAGATGTTAAAGGGTTTGTTAAAAAATATTTTCCCCCCAATTCTTTTAATGGTTTTTGCTGGTTTAGCGTCTCATTTTTGAGCCCCACCCAAATCGTGTCTAATCCAGTTTCATTCGTGTTGTGGGTGGGGGTCCGAGGGATGCACGAAGAGCAAGTTGTTGCCTATTCTGTTGCAGCCATAAGTGCGCTTGGCTTAAGCCACAGAAAGAGGGAGTAGACCAACAATGATGTATGTGAATGGCGGGGTGGCACTCTCAACCGTGCGATTTTTCCATGAGGAATGCCCACTTGAAAATTTGTGGGAAGGGCACTCGTACTGTAAACACTTTCAACCACCAATCGGACAGTGATGCATTTGAGATTTGGTACGTGCCGTCGTCTCTTGCCTGAAGTTTGGAAATATTCAGCGGCTAATTCCCCAATATATTTGAAGACATGATAGAGAGAGAGAATGTGCTTCACATTTCACGTTTTTGTTTTTGTAGACCCTACCAGTGATCCAGTGGCTATATGTGGCTAATATGTGGCTATAACATGCTGAAACCCACTGTGGATCCTATCGTAGCTTTCATCCATGGACAGCGCGAGACCACCATGCTGTTGTCCTGAGGAATCGGGGAAATGCACCACAACATACCTCAGCGTATTGAAAGCGAATGATGTCATTTGTTTTCAGCACACAGAGGTATGGAATGTAACTCGGCTCATGCGACAAGAACATGAAGTTTACATTTTGGCCGCGTGTTGAAAGGTTTTTCAGCTGAACTTTGGGATTGAAACAATGTCTATTGAGTCTATTGTTTTGTCTTCCTGGGCCCTGGGGATCATCACAGTTCGTCATGGTCCCTTTTTTGGGCGTTTAACGCATTCAGCCAACATGAGCCAACCATCATGTATCCCCGCAAATAAAATAAAACTATAGATTTGGTTTCCTAACAGGGATGGTCCACTTTTACCGTCCTATATGTAACATCTTTCTTTTTTCCTTCCAGTACTTGTAGTTGGGCTTGAGAACCCCAGCAACTTACCCAACCGTTTAGCCACATCGCTGCCAAGGACCGAGGAGCAGTGGACTGGCAGAGATGGAAGAAGGTGCCAACTTGGTCAATGGGGGTCTCCAAGAGACTTAAATTAGCCAATATTGGAAGTAGTAGGGATTCAGATTTGTTTTGGCATCTCGGTGACTTTCAGTTTGTTTGTTAGAACATGAACGTGGAAAAGTGCATTTTTCTGGCTGACAAGGGGGGAAGCTGGTGAACATACGCCACTGACTGCATTAGTTTTTGTGCTATTGTCTGCTATTTGATAATGTTTCGTTTTGACCTGCAATGTTTTGTTTGACGCCTCACAGACTCAAACTCTTTGTCTGTAAAATGCATTGCAATAGCTTGAAGCCAGCAGCTCTTCAGGATATGGGATAGAATTTGGGCCTTGCCAAGGTGCACAAACATGCGTGTGACAATGCATGCTTGTGCACCTTGGCAAGGCCCAAATAAGAAGGCCCCGGTAGAACAGTAGAATCAGACACAGTAGAATCTCTGATTCTACTGTGCGACCGGGGCCTTCTGTACAACCTCGACGGTCTTCATCAGCTACTTTCGCTTGCCAGCATCGATGCTGTGAAGTACCGGGGATACGCCTTCGGAAACTGCAGTTGTCCCAGTTGTCCCCGCAGGTCAGTAGCCAAAGACGCTACTTGAGCCTTGCAGCACTGCACATGTAAAAACGAATCCTGATGTGGAGTTGGGGGAAGCTTATATAGATATGTTATATATGATATATTATATATGTATATATTTAGTATTATTCTTGACATTTGTTGACTTGGGATCATCCTTCATACGAAACGTTTCAAATTGAACTCAAGGGCCATCCCCATTCGGAAAATGTACCGTACCCATACATGCAACCACAACAACAATGTGTTTGCATAAAATCTAATATAATTCAATATGATAAAATATAGTTATAGCATATTAACATATAGTAAAATACAGTTTATTTTCCCATCAAATAAGTCCCATGAAATTTGGCTCACATCACGACTGGAGGTCCCAGCGAAGGCCTTGCTGTGCAACTCGCGCGCCCCATTGAGGCGCTTGTTCAAGGCGCGCCCTGCAAGATTCAGGTGGGACAAGCAAAATGCTTCTGGAATCTATATGGCTATGGGTCAATACCTATAGATACATGACTATAGTGGGATGAACATCCATAAATCCCAGCTATGACTTGGGGTTCACTAGGTGCCAGGGTTTTGACCAATAGCCATATAAGACCAATCAATGATGTGGGGTTCATGGTAACTACACATCTAAGACATTCTAAGACTCTAAAACTCACTTAACCATACTTAACCTCGCTACTTTTATGTGCCTTTACCCCTACCGGTGACCCTTTACGCCTTGGAGATGTCATCGTGCCATGTGGCAGGTGCTGCGGCCTCCCATGGCCCCGCAGGCGGATGGAACATCATATAATATTATATAACACTGATAATCTTTCCAAATGATATAGAATTGACATAGGATTTACTTTGTTTTCCTTGTTGATTCCTTTAGACTCACACAATCTCACAGATCCCCCATTTTTGGGTACATTTACAACATCTTTCTTGCAACTTGGGGCCACAAGCAAACGTTGTGACATAGTATTTGGCTGGCAACCACGCTTGGTCCCAGGAAACCGTCTGGAAAATTACCACTGCAATGGAAAGTTGTTTCTTTAATGGGGAAAGCTATATTCCACTGCCAACTTGGATTTTCCTCTGTTACCTCTGCGGCCGGCCAAAAATCGTTTCCTCCTGTCCTTTGTCTTGGCGATTTCCTGAGATTTTTGGCCGGGCCCTGAGACATTTGAGAAACAAAATGCTGCAGCGCTGCAGGCATAGGAAAAACATAGAAGGACACAGAAGGACATTGCTTCATTGATGAACCATGACTGCAACATATTATTGTCATGCCTTAGCATTTTCCGCCAGCGCGATTTTGATCTTCTGCTTCGCGGAGCTGATTTTGGGCTTTAGGTAAACTCAGCTTTAGCGACTGGGGCATCAGCCAAGCACAAGGCTTTTGAGGTCTCATTCCTTCCATTCCTTCTGCCATGTCGACCACCGATAACGCCTATGCTGCTTTCTCCTACCAACAGATCTCACTTGCCGCCCTTGCATCCTTGAGGAATGCCGCGGGTGCTGGAGTGCTGGGGCAGGGCATTGACTTGCTAGTCAACAATCACTGTGTTCTCCATGGCACCCCAGACGAAAACGTCAAAAGCATCCAGATGAACGGATTCAAAGACTCAACCTGTGGGATGCTCGGATGCGGTGTGTATGGAGCACACTCCTACGACAAAGCAAAGGCGTTTGCCGGCCAAGACGGCACGGTCTTTTGCATCCGCTTCCGCGGTGACAAGGTGTGCTGCACCGACACGACAGACCTCTCCGGCTCCTGGCGAGAGAATGGCCCGGCTATGATTGCATCCATTGCGATCGGCCGGGACGCAGGACTGAGGTGTGCTTCCCTGAGCAAAATATCACAAGTTTTTCCGAGTACACAGGCTCGCTAAGCCAAGATGCCCATTTGAAGATTGATAAGTTCTTTCTGGAGAATCCCACGGTGAAGAATGCGGTCGTGTACATTGGTGTTGGTGCTTCTATTTACTCCAGAAGCCGCTTGGGTGCTTCGCTTGGTGCCAATGTTGGGATTGCCATGTCATGCTTGTTTGACAACATCGTCGGTAAAAGCACCAAGGTGACCAAAGAAGAGATTGAGAAAATTTTTGCTGAGGCAGTTGAATTTGGCACTCATGTGGGCCTCGCAGGAGGAGGTGCTACTTTCGTCGCCGCAGCAGCTGCGACAACAGAGGTTGCGGCAGGAGGCATTTGGGGCTGGATGGGCTACACTACAGCTGTGGCAGCATACAGCACCACAGGTGCAGCTGCAGTGGCAGGCACAGTGGCCTTGCCTCTGGCTGCTGTGGCGGCTGGAGCCTATGCTTTTTGGAAGTTGCAATCGGGAAATAGCAATCGGAACGATGATTCGGACGAGACTTCCACCTGACTCCACCTCAGCTCATGCTTGACTGCGTGTATGCATAGATGATCATAGATGTATATGATTGAAATAGCCGAATTATTTTGACTTGCACAAGATTCGATACATGGTCTGCTGGTGTGCAGTTTTGCCAGAATGATCGTGGAAGGAGTGCAGGATATGATTTCAACAGCGGCAACAAAAAGGCGCTGCACAGAGAGAAGTGGCAGATCTTTTGCATCTAAGCGTTGCCTGTTTTGATGTCTCCAGCCACCTGAGGTCAAGAAGACAACACTGTCGAGCGCTGCAAAGTAGGGTGGAAGGGTTTTTTAAGCAGGAACTTAGCTGTGAGGCCTCTCAGATTCAGATGGGCTGCACATTCAGGTGGTTGGAATAAATAACATTCCCTAGTATAAGGACTCTTGCATAAGGAGCCCATTTCCATCCATTGCCTTTTTTTTTGCCTGCAGTTCAGCTGTTTGAACACCCCCGTCAGGCTTACCAAGCACCTGGTCCCTTTCCTGAGCACTTTCGGGTGGCCGCAATGCTCCAGCAGGTGGGGGGTGGCTCTATTAGGCACACGTTGCCTGGATCTAGCTGGTTTGATGCTGATTATATCTGATTATTGTTTGCCATTTATTTGCCTTATTTTGCTATGGATCATTGATTGAATTGAAACAACTTCACCACGACGTCAGTACAAATATGTTTTTTAGGTAGCATCATCTCAAAATGATCTCATGTCATCTCATCTCAGAAGGGTGACTTTTTTGAATTCGCATAGATGACACAATACACTAATTATATGATATGTTTGCGTGAATAATGAATGATAGAGGGGTAAAGTGCCACATTATTTTAAGGCCATCCTTCCATCCCTTCCCAATGCCTTGATTTGGAAGATGATATTCTCATTTCATGTCGTATGAAAAAAAATCCACGTCCCACGTGTTGTGTACACAGCCATTTACACCTTCAAACTGACCCATGATGAATTTTTTTCATGGAGATACATGGAGTAACCCATATGTAATGAAAATTTTCATGGAGTAAATCATAGTAAATCTCACTATTGGACGGTGACATCAGGTTCTTCTTTATGAACAGGAAGAACTCAAGGGATCGTAGCACCTTGGCACAGGATCCCAGTGGTTTGGTCCCCTATGCCGACGTGGCATTCGATGTGGGTTCGGGGAACCGAGCCCTGGGACTCCGTGGGACGTGGCAGCCATGATGGGCGGGCCAAGTCCTCCAAGTCCTCCATGGTACCCTCTGGTAAAGTAACATAACTATGGAAAATGGCCCATTTATAGATGGTATATAGATGGTTTACCTATAAAAAATGGTGATTTTCTATAGCTATGTTAAATTACCAGAGGGTAAAGCAAACCATCCATGGTGAATCGATGTTGCTGTGAGTGATTTCTGTGGAAAAAAAACCATACGCCTTTCTGTTGAAAAACCTGTTGAGAAAACCTGTGTGAAGATTAATGTTCATGATGTTCGCATCCCGGGAGAGCCATGCTAAAATACTTGGGATGAAGTGAAAGGCCCATCCAAAACTGGACGTGCTCCTTGGGTACTTGCGGGTTTTGTGGCTCTGTGTCTTGGACTGTTGGTTTGTCCGGGCATGGCAATCATAGTTAAGCATCAAGTGGATTCAAGTGGTACAAAACCCAAGGGTATCAATGTAGTTTGTTTGCTGATACACTATTGCTGGTATGCTTGTATCATCTTGTATCAACTGTAGGAGTTGCTTCGTCACTTCTGCTGCTTCCAATCCCATACTTGTACGGTCATTGCTCAGTTTCCTAAATCCACATGTCTGATGCCATTGCCAGAAATCTCGGAAATCCGAAAACGGAAACCACAAAAAATCGCCTATAGTCACCATGATAGTCACCATGATAGTCACCATTAGACTCGTTTTACAGAGCCATTTTTTGGTCATCTTAGATTTCAGGTGGCTAATCGTGCCGAAGCTCAGGCCCAGAACGACAAGGGGTGGCCACGGGTCGCTTTTTGGCACATCGGGTGGTTGAGATCCTCAGCGCCAACTGGGAAGGAAAGTTGTTGGTCTGTAGCCGAAGGAAATATGATTATAGAATATACACGTTATTACAACGATACTGTATAATTAATATATAATCAATATAATGGGTACATATTAGTAGTATTCATATTGGTATAACAATGAGGATAAAATAAGATATGGTTGAAACACCAACGAAGGCAAAATGCACAGGAGCAAAGAGCAAAGATACGAAAACAACCACTAAAACCGAGATGTAATGTAATCTGGTGCAAACCCCAAGCTTGGATATATGAGATTGAATAGTTCACAGGTTTAAAGGACAATTGGTGTGCTGGAATTTGAACGGATGTTGATCCACAGCAGACCTGGTTCAGATCACACTCTTGCAGCCATTTAGCTTAGTTTGCCAACATTGACTCAAAATGGACCAGGACAACATCATTTGAACATGACTGGTCCTCAACGCAGTGGTCCGATGTTCAACTGTTGGGCTATGTGCGTGTGTGTGTGTGTGCGCGTAATTTCAGCATATTAAACATTCGTGTTCAATCATTAAGATACAAAGTGACCTACAGATTTCAAACAACATCTATCCCTTACTTTAGCAACCTGAATCAACACATCTTTTCGCTGCTGTTCTGCCAGCAGTCCTTTGCTGCCCTGATGAAGATCTTATCGATGCCCCCAGCCCCTTGGAATGGAGGGCTTGGGCAGTGGCAAGGTCAGAAGATCGCACTAGACACTATGGTGCCCCTCCAGCAAGAGACGTAGCCAAATCTCATGCAAGGACAAGACCCTGTCTGTCAGGCTGATGGAAGAAGTTAGTTGATTTAGCCATTTAGCAGGGTATCTATGTTTCCCACTCTTTCAACCCTGCCTCATGGTGCAACTGTTCAGCAGTGAAGATGCAGAGAGATAGAGAGAGTTTGATGAACAAACTGCAAATTATGTCGTTTGGAACGTCCTCAGTGTTGCAACAAGGACAGCCTTCTCCATTTTCCATAGCAAAGCAAGCCATGCGTTGGCTGCCTCTGGTGCTACTTGGCGAACATGGCTTTCACGAGTGCTCAGTGCTTTACTATACTGTACTGGTTGGTACAAGTTGGCACACCCGTAAATTTGCATGGGAATTTTCAACAGGGGTTCCCCAGAAGTTCTCCAAGATATTTTTTTGAAGTGTACATTTACTCGGGTTCTGTCCTTGAATCCGTGTCCAACCAAAAGAAGCACTTCAACGATTCAACATGTTAAAAAGACACATACAATTAAGTATATTTATGTATTATGGATTATAATTTATATGGTTTGACACCAAAGGCTTTTACAGATCTTGTCAAAAGCTTCTGACGTTTTGATGATGGTGTCATTATTGCTTGTGCATAAAAAAATGCGGATGCCGATGCCACCGGTTCCACCAGGCTATGCATTCTGGCTCATGTCCAGGCTGCAGAAGGCATCGACCGTTCAAAGCGACCCTTGACTAAAAGACTTGGCGGAAAGAAACTGATGGTGATCACCTGCAGTAAACGAACATAGCCATGGAAAACCATGTTTTTTTAATAATAGGTAACTTATCTATAAATAGACTATGTTAAATTGAAAGAGGGTATACTGTACATGGCTAATAAGCGCGTTCTAAAACACATCAAGCTTTCCAATCTCTAACCACTTTTATAAACCTGTGTATGACCTGGGTGTGTTGCAAGGACCATCCACCAATTCAATAGTGTGTCTTTTTTCTTCCATCCATCTTCCAAATCCCATCATTGTTGCTAATTACATCTATATAGTTTTTTTCATGTTGTTGACTGTATCATTTTGTGTGTTAGAAACTGGTGCTGTCCAGTCGGGCACGGCATGTGTCAAACTTGGGTGACATTGGGACAACCATGGTCACAAAATCACAGTTTCACCCTTTCTTTGGATCCAAATTCATCCACAGATGTGACGAAGACATCGACCCCGAAGACATTTATTTGCTCACTCAGAAGGTATGTGCTTATATACTTCAAAATATGTCAAATCTGATCAAATTTATGCTTTTTGGTTTGGCAAGAACCACGAACACGATGCAATAAGTATTAGTTTATGCCATACAAATATTATGTTCACCATAAATACCCTCTGGTAATTTAACATAGCTATTGAAAATCACCATTTTCAATGGGTAAATCCACTATAAATGGTCATTTTCAATAGCTATGTTAAATTACCAGAGGGTAATGACATTGGCTTGGTGTTTGTTCCGGGACAACATGTCTAAGATCTTGCCGAAGCGATTCACAAGTGAATCGCTGGCCAAGGCGAGGAGGCCCTTCATCCCATCAGGCCTGGCTTCTCACATCCCAAACACGTGGGCCACGGTGAATGATTCCGCAAAGTAACAAGATCTCATATTTATGTAGATATGAGATATGACTAGTATATATAATATAATACATATATAATTATGATATATAATTAGATACATTATATATATGGCATTATATAACATGTCTTTATTGATATAGGATGATATGTATATGTAATATATAGAGTAGACTAGACTAGACTAGACGAGATTAAATTATTAGATAGACAGACTGATGCATATAGACTAGCTATCGCTGGTTAATGATTTGATTTGTTTCTTTCATCGCTTTTGATGATGGTTTTTGACAAATATATGGGCTGAACCTACTGCCTGGCAGGCGTCAAAGACACCATGGAGGCCGCTTGCGAGTTGAAGTTGCCACTTGGCGATTGATTCGCTGCCAATGGGACGGGGTTTCTACATAAATTCTGGTACAACATGATAAAAATTATGTTACCCTCTGGTAAACTAACAAAAAACTATGGAAAATCATCATTTTCAATGGGAAAATCCACTATAAATGGTGATTTTCAATAGCTATGTTAAATTACCAGAAGGTACACCAATAAAACATATAAATTCTGGATAAAACTTGTGTTGTCTTCTTCATTTTTTGATTGGTGATTAGAAAAAAACACCCATGTGGCAATCAAATGCTAGTCGCCGTTGTGGTCAGTACTTGCTGTCAAGCCTTGGGCAGAAGGTGCTTGGTGCTTCACCTGGAGGAGTGGATAGATTTCCCCCCCTTTGAGAGTACACGAAGAACATAAAACATGGACTTCAGTCACAAATATCCGTTCATGTCAGGTTTTTTCAAATTCACCCATCCATTTTGGCGCACCAAATGGTTGGACCTATACCCTTGACATACCGCGCCTCATGGCACTCAGGATGCTTTCGGAGAAGAGAGGCTCAGGCGCGGTCGATTGCTGGGGTCAGAAAGCATCCTGGGGAATGTCTCAAAATGGCAAAGGGCTCCGAAAGCAGCAGTGAAACAAATGGGTATGGATCAAGCATCTTGATTTGATTTTTGCTTAAATACTGGCCCTTGTTGAGGCCCAGCTTCATGGACGATGAAGCTGAAGGCAGGGCATTTAGGACACCTCCATATTGGGCTGTGGATGGCTGTTGGGAAAACGACTATTGTAAGATCCAGTGAAACACTCATCATTTTCCCTCTTGAAATAGCTACTATGGGGGCATACCCCATTGTCAGACACACTAAGTTGCCCAGACAATCTGAGATGATATCAGATGCTATGAGGAGTTTCATAAGGCAAGTCCTCCTATACTATGTGGGTTATATAATATAGGCCATTTTGGTTCCAGGCAAGCAAGTCATCAAGTTTTCAGGTGCTCCATGGGTATTGGGATGTTGCAACACTTCATAGTCACACATGGTTCGTGGGTGATCCTCATTTGTTACATGATTTTTGAATAAGCACCTCATAATCCTCATCCTTTCCAGCATTTTCATCTATTTTCCAATGTTCATCTCAGTTTCACATGGTTTTTGCCAGCCATTTTGCCCAGTTCCCATGGTTTTCCCCGGGTTTTTGCCCATCGTTGCCAAGACCTCCGCCAGGTGAAGAGGTCTCGGTGGACCTGGCAGCGCCCCGGGAGGGGATCGGCGAGGAGGGGATGGACGTGGGCCCACTGGATGAAGCTTGGAGAGCGCAAGGTGGCATGGTTGGCTTTAAAGAAAGATGTGGATATGCTTCTATGCTATATATATAATATATATATGATATAATATGATATGATATGATATGATATGATATATATATCCTCATATATCCAATCTAGTAAACATATATGTAAACATATATGTATTTTTACACGAGCCTGGGAAATTTAATGGACATGCGTCAATTGATTTGTTTGGTGGTTTCAATTTATGTGTTCATTTGTTCCATTTCCCTTTCTAGCAATGGCTGGCTCAAGTATCAACTGTTGCCTTGCATTTCAATAGGAGACTTCCTTAATCTTGAGAATCATAGAACCACACAGAGAGGCTGGACAGCTACCAAATCGGATCCAGGCAAGACTAATTCTCATAGGCCGTGGCCGTGGCAAGGACGAAACCCCATGTGATTGATTGTTTCCGCATGACAGTTTTGTTTTTCTGGCAACAATCTGGCTAATTTGTCATGTGTCAAATCATTTGGAACAATCAACTTAGACTTAGATGCATGCTATGTTTGGGTTGGCTTGAGACCACCAGCAAAGATGGCAACATGGCAACATGCGTGACCGAATATCAACGCTCAAGGTTCATGCAGTGGTTTACCTGCTCGCAACATCAGAAGGCGTCCAAGAATCAAGAATCCACAATTGAGGTTTGTTTGGGCATTATTGGGCATTATTTTAGATCTCTTGGCTTCAATCATTCAAAAGGCTCTAAACGAATGGTTTTGGACTTGACTTCACCAATGATAAGGTATGATAAGGTGCTGGTCGGTCTGTTGGAATGTTCACATGGGTTTGTCTGAAATGGTAACCGCGGTTTTGACGGTTCATCATTTTCCATTTTGCCCATGAAATTGCAGCGTGGAAATACATTTGCCACAGCGTGCCACCCCACAGCGTGAGTCTCAGGAAAGTAAACCAGTTGCCAGGCAGCATTTGAGACCTGGAACTCACCATGCCCACTTGGATGATAAGACATGATAAGACTAAGAAGTCTGATATCTGATATTTCAGAAAGTTTCAGTAGAGCTGCTTGATACTTTACATTTCCTTAATATTTCCTTATACCTATGACTGTATCCATGGACCATTTGATACATGGTTTCTACGCCGCAATTGCAAATAAGGTGACCTGCAAGAAAGAAGAGACCGAAGAAGGCGGCGAGCTGAAGACGGTGTGCACACAAGGCGTGGCTCTGTGATGGGTTCGTATAGGGGGGATTTAATTTAATCATCATTTATGATATCTATGGTTGTTTATGGTTGTTTGAATTCTCAAGATATGGGGGTACAATTGACAATGGTTGGATGGTTGGTTGGTTGATGGTTGATGATTCTAGTATAGGGGTTTTGACCAACTGGTTTATTTGGGGACTATTCTTGCCAGCCCATAGGTACACCTATTTAGCAACCAGTATAATGATTCTTGGAGAGCTGCATGGGACCTTGGCCATAGGCGACCTCACAGGCGGCAGAGAAATATGGAAGATTTTGTTGATGGACATTACGGAGATTTTATGGAAGTTTGACAATTTTGAACACCTCAAAAGTACACAGAATTTTCTCTATGTTAGTCATTAGATTCCTTCCAACTCTATGTTAGTCATTAGATTCCTTCCAACTCTATGTTAGTCATTTGATTTGAAACAATAAAGTTGGTCCAGTTTTCACGGTCTGTCAGATTTGGGTACTGCACATCCCTGCAGGGGGTGAAGTGGTGAAGCCCTGGAAGTGCGAGGAAGGCCAAAGCATTTGCTGTCACTGATTTGCAGTGGATGGCCGTGATGAATTTGAAGGTTTGATAGGGTGATAATGGTGATAATGGTTGGTTAACAGCACCATTGGGTGTTAAATATCCATATGATATGGGTGTTACCCTCCAGTAAATTAACATAGACCCTGGTAGATAGGGGTTGGAAGATGAGTTTCCTCTAAAAATTGGTGATTTTCAGGGTCTATAGTTAATTTACCAGAGGGTATTTTTTGGGGGGGAACGGATCAGACATATCATAAAATAGCCGATGAATGATCATGAAACCTGTGTTGTTTCGGTGTTTCTCACATCCTTCTAACTACATCAACCCCAAAAAAGCCGAAAAGTGCTTCCAGCATGCTTTTGATGATGGTTTACCCACATTTTCTAGGTTTCCCACTTTTCTCTCAACCTTTGGTTGCAAAAAAGCTACACCAGCACCCTGGGAAGATCTCAGTTGGGCTCAGGTAATCCTCGCATGAAGGAGTCCTACTACCTGAGATGCGGCTGAGATCCAACGATGGGCAAAGCTACTGTACCATAAATGCCATACTGTACCGATATGATCTCCGCATATCTAAATGTAAGTTTCATCTATGTACATGATATTATATTACATATGATATATATATATAATATTAATAGTATTATATACTGAACAGCATCAAACTGCATTACCATATTTACCAGGTCCGTGCGACAAGCACGGCGTGTTCAATACCATATACTGCACCTGCATGGTGAGCCGTGCGTGTTGGAATTTGCTGATGAATAGCTTAACTCTTCGTTGTATTTCTGATATCATAGTCATACGGGTAAAGTATGGTAAAGTCATGTAAAGTCAGTTTTAAGCCATTCCCATAATTCCATCATATTTCCATGGTCATGGTATGTAAAAACCATGACCAAATGGTAGATTTATGGCATTGGCGTTTCCAGATCCATCTCTGCAGGCAGATCAATCTGCCTGCATCTCCCAGGTGTTGCGCGTGAGTGCTGGAAAGTGAAATCCGACACTTGGTGGAGGTGAGTGATATCACTGTAATTTGTGGTTGGGATTGGGGGGGATTATCCGGAGAAAAATCCCCCAATGTTAGAACTTTTAAGGTGATTATTACGATCATTTATCCAGATAATAGATAATAAAAAATGATAACATGGACAACTTTAGTGTGATCCCAGCAACAATCAGGATGAATGTAGCCAAATACAAGGGAGATTGCATAACCAATAATAACTGAATGCGGGTCTCTGCTGAAACGATGGGATGCATGCTGGTGGTTTTTGTTTGGTTGGGGGTGCAACCCACCTTTCACGCTCAGCAAATTCAGGTGGTAGGCCTGTCTCTGAGAATGGAAGAGATGGGAGCATAAGCCAGACTATATGTGTATGATCATTGTATATCCATGATCAAATATTCACGAATTAAATATTATATTTTTGAAAAAATATACATACTGCGCGTAGCATATTCATCTTAGACCCAACTTCACCCTACACTAAGGATTCCATTAAGAAGCCATTGATCTCTCACGTACAAGGTACTCGTTCGGGTCAGAATTGGGGTTGGGTCACAATTGCAACTTGCGGATGTACCTCACTTGACTGAGGATCCGCTGTGCGAAGAAAACCAGTTTTGCACACTGAAGTGCAAAAACAACTGTTGTTGTGCCCTGGATGCAGTCGGGGTTCCCCGTGACACTATGTTTGACATGACAGCTGTTTCCATTTATGAACATGTTCCTGTCCAACATAATTTGGTAGATGATACGGGTGGACACCCCTGAGAATGGACAGGATGGTCGTCCCAAGTTCCTAAGAGTCGCATGTGATTACTGCGTATATGTTTGATTCCTTCAAAGAGTCAAATGTTATCAAATGTTTGGGTTGATGAGTTAAGTCATCCCGGAATGAATCTAACAAAAAAATATAGACAATCTACCAGCAAACTTAATTTGGATGGTAAAATCTGTGGAAATCAACAAAATCAGCTCGATTTCGAGGAAATATGGAATAGATGTTTCAAGAAAATTGGAGTTTCACTTTCCAAAATCTCCAAATTTCATCAAATTTCACCCAGATGACAGGAATTGCCAAACCCAAAGACCTGGAAACAGCCAAGGCTTTGTGGCAGGCACGAGCTGGACGGTGAGGACGCTGTACCGCAACGTGGAACAGAAGGTGCCAATGTTGCTTCGGGGTAATTATGGAGTATAGACGGGGACGTGTATGAGAAATGTATCAGAAAGTGGAGTATGAGTCAGATACTTAACACGGTTTGTTCGTGGGTAGTACATATGAAGAATGGGAAGGATTAGTACATGACAAACTGTAAATCATGTAACCTCGATGGAATTACTTGTTGAATCTCATGTTTCAAAAATGGAGGTAGCTCAAGATCAGATGGCTCAGAACCTCATTTTCTCGATGAATAGCCACAAAATTGGACATCACCATCATTGTTTGACTGGCTATCAAGTGGGGCATCCAACATGTTCCCATTCGAAAGGCAATGTTGAACGATATGGTACTAGGATGTACTAGGCATCACTGACCCATGCTGAGAGAAACCATGTTTGTTGAAGGGAACACATTTTTCAGTCCATGAAATTCGTTAAGTCTGGGGATGGATTGGGGATCTGGGTTCAAATCCAACAACCCAATCTTGGTGGTAACAAGCATAGTAAGTCACTATCGTGCATACCGGTGCTGTCTGATGTCACTGGGAGTGTTTCATGGTGAAGGTTGGGGGCTTTCAGTGCAGGCATTAGTGATCATGATGGCCTTGCTTGGCACGCTGCCCCTTGGCCATGGGCCAATGGGGGCTGGTGCAGGGGCAGGGGTTGGAGTATGGTTTGAAGCAAACCCAAGATCTGTGAAGAGATCGGATCGGCTTGACCTTTTTCACACAGTTTTTGGATGTTTGGGGGCTGGATATTGTGGAGGATAGCCGCTGAAACAGGTGGATCAGCTGATCAAATCTCCGATATTCTCCCAGTTTTTTTTTAAAAATCTCAGTTGATGACTGGTGGGTGGTTTCAAACATGACTTGATGATTTTTCCATTTCATATATGGGATGTCATCCTTCCCATTGACTTATTATAATATTTTTCAAGATGGGCACATTGCACCACCAAGCAGTTGATGTTTGTGGATTTGTAGGGTTCCAATGATATCATTGATCAATGTGAGCACCTTTGAACCGCCTACAGTATCGGATCTCAAGGATTTCTGTCATCCTTCGGGCGCCACAGTCACGACCAGGAACCTGGAGGGAGATCAAAATCTGACGGACAACTCCACAGCGCGTGTTTTGGTGGCGCCTGGTGGGAGGGGGTTGGGGGATGTTTTGGGGAGTCAAGATTGCTAGTGCTTGTTAAGTATGTAATTACAAATTACAAGTGTATGGGGAACCAAGAGATCAAAGAGAAATGTGACATATCCGCAACACATGGGGATACAAGTAACAAAGACTCGGAAATTAGTCAATCAAAACATGCCCGGGAATCAGCTCGCAAGTTCCCCTGATCTATCTCGTTGTTGTCAAATCAACTTGTAATCCCTATATATGTTATTCATCATTACACCACCAGGCATCCCAAACATTCCCTATGGCCCTATGATATAGTTATATAATATATAATTATTAACATTTATGAAAACAGTTCTTGCTTCTAAAACAGCCAATTTCTACTTAGAATATTCTTGATCAACCAAAAACCACTTATTGGACCAAGTTAAATCAGTTAAATCTGTTGATCACCAGGTATTTCACCCATTTAACCTATGACCACCGAGGTGAAGAGCCTGGAGCTCAGGAGAAGTGGATGAAAGCCACCTGCACTGAGGCCGTGTACCTGTCCCTTGGCGAAGCTGCAGTCAGCGCGTTGGGATTTCTGGGAGATGAAAACTGACGGTTGGTGGAACGCCAGAAATATGGTGAATCTGGAACCAGATTTACGGTGGATCAAAGGATGATGATTTTCTTTCAACAAATCTGGAAGATCCACAGAAAATGATGTGTGGATGTTTTTTTCTGGTTGGAAGTGGTAATGTTTGGATGATGATCCATCTTTCGCCCTTGGTACTGAGCTGGAAATCAAAATCTACTCTGCACGGGCATGGTGTTTCTTGGGGAATTCATGGTCAACCACCGGAAATGACTGGAAACCAATCAAAGTACTTTGATTTACTGCAGTATATTACTGTAGTATATAATATACATGTAAATAACATGAAAGGACTCAAATTCTGCAATGACTTCCTCAGCACAGCCCATCCATTTGGCAGCACGACGGACGGACTTTCCCAGATTTCGCGCAACCAGGGTGCTGATCATGCCATTCGCCGGGCTCAGTTTGGCACTGATTCTCGGCCGATGGCATTTCTTTTTCAGACGGGAAGTAGAGAATCATGATTGAACAACATATTGATGTGGTAAACTCAATAATACGAAACCTCACGAATGAGATGGTTGATTATTGGGTATACGGATGTATACGGTATACCGCAATAAACAACATTGTTCGATCTTACTTGTGGAGAGCCCGACAAATTGAGAATTGATGCTGTGTCCTCAACAAGAAGTACGAGAAGGTACGATTTTGACCACTGCTGGCAGATGCTAGCAGTAGTGATCCGAGGATCTATGAGCAAATGAAAAAGGCTTCGCAGTCACTCTTTGGCAAAAAAGGCCCGGAAAGATGATGACCTGGTTGCCGAACGACTGGCCTCTGCAGGGAATACAGTAGGGCGCATAGGGTTTGTGAGTTTGTGACTGATTATGTACTGTAGATGATATTGGAACGTATTCTAAATAACTCTGAATATAAATTCTGTCAGCTGAAGTTCTTTCCTTTGCCAACGTTTCAATGTTTACTGAATGTGTGGTTTCAAAGCCTTTTTCCATTCCTGTTTGGGAATATGATGCAAATTAATTAACTAAGATGCCGAGCGTCCTAGCACTGGGAGGGATGTGTGAGACAAACAAGAGTAAGAGTGTAAATGAGAATTGGCCATACAGGATGAAACAGCGTTGTAAAACATGACGAACAGCAGAGCGTATTGTGCGGAACCTGCTTAGCAATTAGTTGCACAGTTGATACGACTGGGTGCAATCCTCAATTATGTTGTCTCCACAAACAGAAGATGTTGGTGCATCCTTGCTTTTAGGATCACAGAAACATCTTTGTCAGAGGTTTCCGCATTAATTGCCAAGATTATCAATGTATGAACCCCACAGATGATACCTTGGTTACTCATGTCCCTCTAATGGGAAGCAGATCATCCTTTTGGGGATGCTGGAATTTTCCACGCCGGGTATCCCGTCCCGTCCCCGAGTCTCGCAGATGTTCGAACGGACGAGATGAGCAAAGAGATGCGAGAGGAGTGGATGCAAGATGCGCAAAACCAGCAGCTGGGATCATCTGGGATCCGCGGCCAAAGCTCTGCTTATTGTTTCATTGATTTAATGTCGAACTATATGGGGGGTTGTGTGAAAATAGGGCACCCCAAATTTCACGGGTTTAATTTAATTAAGATCGTTTCTTATTTTGATTGGAATTTCGGTGTATACACTCTGCTTTGGACACACCCATGTGGTGGTTTTACTACAAAAGATCTGAGATCCCCCTCAGCGGAAGACCTGGAGTTTCTTCAAGGAGACAAACGGATCAAACCCAATGATTTGGGCAAACGCGAACGCTCTGAACAATATGAGATGATAGTTTTTGTTTCAACTTCTTTCTTCAACCTCAGATGGGAAGATGATGTTCCGCATTGCCTGTGAACCAGAGATCCCTCCCCCTCCGTGTCTCAGGCAGAAAATGAAGTTGAACGAGTACCTGACGGACAAAGAGCAAGATGGCCGGAGCGCCAAGGAACGTTCTGGAGAAGATGGGGAGCCCGTTTTTTATTCCCGTTTTTTAAGAGGCATATCCTTTTTGTGTGCGAAAGATTTGGGATCGCCCGCGGCAGCCTCTGCCAAGGTCTAGGTGGCATTCTGCAAATGGATGCTTGGACGATGGGCGGTTATTTGGGCCACAAAACAGCTAAAATTGGCAAACTGTGTTTTTTTTTTTCCATGTTTTATATAATATGTTTTAGTTTTACCTGTTTCATTGCAGATGTGTACTGCTATTATTACAACATAGTAACAACTCAATGGGATGATCATGGAATCATGGAATTAGTTGAGCTGTTTGCATTGAAGCATACTGGATTGTCTGACAATTTCTAGAAACCCTTGCGTTTTTTTTGCAAAGAAAGAAGGTGTGGTAATTGAAGCTGGGCAGGTTCGGTTTGTTGCCAGATACCAGCGCCTCATTTCCGGCAAAGCCTAAGGTGTCCACTCAATCAGGTGATAGCCATTCTTTCCAATCAATTTTACAAATTTCATAGATTTCCACTAGTTGGCACTTGCATCATGATGCTGGTAGCGATGATGGTGGATCCAAAGTTGATCACTTCAGACTTCACCTGTAAGGTCAAGCCATCAAATTATCCATGCAGCCAAGGTAGTGACAGAGGTAGCAGGGATGAGTGCCTTGTCTGCCATGGACCTGGGCCAACACACTGCGCCCATGTTGAGTCTATCGATATTATATGATATTATTATTATTGCTCCGCTCAAGCTGGTGATTTCGCCGCTTTTGTGCAATACGTAATAAGTAAATACTAGTTCGGACAGCTTCTCTACCATTGTTTGTTGTTTTTTCTGCATTTTGTTTTAAAAAATGTATTATTACCAAAATGGACCAAACGTCAACCGTTTATATCTCTGCACTCCGTTACATCAGGCAGTGCGAAATGGGTCACCACCCAGTGCATGAGCTTGTCCTTGTACCACTTTATCGTCACAGAACCCGCATCTTGGCTCCCAATGAGCGGATCAGTTTTGGGAAAAAATGCATGTTCAACAAAATATTGCAATATAGATCAATATAGATAGCAATCATATGCGATATAAATATATACTAAATGAAGAAAAGCAGAAGGGATCACAAAGATGTGGGTTCAAATAAATGTAAATTATACCGCTATACCCTTGACTGATTTGCCACAGTACCCTGGTGATATATTCTTTGGGTTGTTCCGAACTTGGTGCAATCGATTGTGACAAGCAATCCTTCGACAATTGGAATTGGCACATATTGGCACCTTCATTTGATACCTGGGCATTTGATACCTTGTTTGGGGACGGAATGATTGGGTGTATCATTATGTTTTACGTGCAGAATGGCTGGAATACAGGACCTGCAAAGTTGATTGGACAGATGGGAACCAGCAGCATGTTCAGGTGAGCACTAGGCAGGGTAGCAGGGTTTGACAAGTATGTGACCATGGATGAACCCATTCCCAGATGTAATTAACCAGTCATGATTGCGTCATTACTGTGTGGGTGGCGTCTCACACTTTTGGACCCACCAATCCTCGATACCGGATGACTGACAAGTGGATCTTGGATTTTCCAGCCATAGATTTCACCTTCAACGATTTCTAGCAGCCAACTATAGGTGCTTTGGCATATTGTTGGCATATTTTTGGCTACTTAAATGGGTATGGGTCAAAATTAGGTACCCCAAAATTATGGATGGTTAATACTAAACTAGACTAACATCTGTGGTCCCCTAGGTCTTCCATTTTGACCCACATCCAAATGTCTTTCTTTGTTTCAAGATGTTTCAAGTGCATCCTGTCTCCAAGGTAGAGAGCAATGTCTGCGTGTTGGGAAAAACGGGTCGTTTGATGTATCTGATGCGAAAGCCGTTGAACCCATCCTCAGAGCAGCTCAGACTCCACGGCTGGATACCGCTGGCAGGTGGCAAACCATGGGGTAATCGGATGTAATCGGGTAAAGGTGTTGTACCATGTTGTACCAATTAATGATCATCGAAGATTACATTACATGACATTAATAACATTACAGTATATGACATTAATTACATTACATTACATTATATGACATTAATTACATTACATGACATGACATTAATTATCATTAATTACATTACATTAGATTCATACCTTTATGTCAGCATTTTTCCTGATCAGTTTTGATACAAAAAGACACACATCGCCTGAGGTCAGCACGGCTGCTGAGCAGCGCTGGGATGATGATCATTCTGCTGACCGCTGTAGCGTTGCCACTGGGAAAGTCTGGGTTTCAGGTCTGTGGAACGGTGTGGAACGGTCGATGCTTTAAAGAAACCATAAGGAATCGTCATGGATCCGAAACACCATGTAGTATATGGGTATGGATCAATACCTATTAATACCATTTTTAGTGGGATGAACATCCATTTACCAGCTATTTTGATGTGAACAGAAGGGGTACAAGGTTTTGACCCATCCCCATATTTGTTTGGGAGGTTAAGCCAACTCTCCTATCCCTGTTAGTAAGGTGAGCGAACCCAAAGTTCGGCGAGACCAACATTGACTTTCTGGTTTTTAGATACAGAAATATCATAAATGTATATACACACAACATCACACAACAGGAAATGCACTTCAAGCTCTCATTTCCTGCACCAAAACCATGCACTGAGGGTCTACTTCCGCAGCATCGAACGGATGCTGTACCTGGCCATGAACTTCCCCTCGCCCGGGGTGGAAGCGCGCTTGATGGTGGTGAAGCCGAAACTGGGTCAGAGCTGATGGACGGTGGGATGATAAATGTTGATTCTGATGGGATCTAGTTCCAGTCAAAATCAATACAGTTAAATCAATACATCCCGCAAAATTCGTTGTAATCAAACCAAGATGAGAACAGCTGAAACACCTAATTATCGACATCTATGGGCATATATTCTGCTTATTCTGTTTATTGTATCTGAGGTACCAAAGATTTAAGTTCATCCATACTGACCAGTGCCAATATTTGACGAAGAGCTGCAAACAATGGGGATATTGCCCAGAAACAAAGGTAGTTTGAAGATAGCGACCTCAAAGCATAGCAGACACATAGATCGTTAAAAAAGCACCTTTGAACGCAAGCCTTGTGGAGGAAGAAATGTTGAGAATGCAGGTTAAATGATGGTGGTTAAATCAACAAAAATGAGTGGTACAGCCAACAGACTGGGATTTATGAGATTGCATCTATGTATTGTGTGTATATATAATATATTATATATATACACTGTATGATATTATTATATACCATATGATGCATGCGGGAAATTGATACAACTGACATTCCATACTGAACAGAAAAAGATGCGGGAGTTGAGTTTTGGACTTTCAGGTTAGTTAGCCAGAGGTCCTGAGGGACACTCTAGGGATTGCTCAATCCAGCTTGAATGCATACTTCTTTGCGTTCAAGGGGCCACGTTTCATTTAAGGTCGTGTATGTTTCTTGAGCAGGGTACCTATCAGGATCTTGACAGGGTTAGAACTGGCTTTAACTGGAGTTGGTCAGTCAGGAATTTATGTATAATGGAAGAAATCAATCGCATAGATGGGCTCTTTGGGAAACCATCATCCTTGAATGGCCTATTCGTTGTGAAACCTAGGGGGTTATCCCTCTAGGTCAGTCTCCTCTGACGGTCTCCCAACCAAATCCCCCTTGTGTCGTTGCTGAAATCTCAAGTGTGGTCAAATGATGGTTCAAAGTCCCAAATTTCTGTCACATCCTGGGTGCCGCCGTGCCGCGAATCTCAGATCTGGTGCTCAGGATTGCAGTTCTCATCGACGGCAAGGCGAGCATGGTTTATGTTTAAGTGGATCCCAGATCAGAAGGATAAGGAAAGGATAAGGCTACAATATTGTATGACATGTTACATGTGAGATATGATGACATATGTATACTTACAGTTGATTGGGGATGATCACTTGGCACAGCCAACACATGTTCAGGTCAGTGCTTGGTACAACGCTAATGTATTTGAGGGCATCATTTGTTCGACTTGTTGGTTGATTCGGTTGATTCAGAGCGAAAACATAGGCCCAGCGTGGCCCAGCGCTGCTCTGTTTTGCCACAACTTTGGAGAATTTGGCTGTCCAGGTCCATTTGTACACATTCCTTGTTGCTGCTGTCCTATGGTTGCCTCTTGGCCAAGTCATGGGATGTCAGGAATGGCCCGGACATGGCTTTTTTGTGCCATGGCTGGGGGTTTCCTAAAATGAGGATCTTCCCCTTCAAATCATCCATTTAAATATATTTAAATAGGATCTTCCATTCTAAATCATCCAGCTGTTGGGGTAACCTCCATGGAACCCCCCCCATGTTTGAGTAGCTGATCACTTCGAGGTTCAACCTGGTATTTTTCAAGGCCACCATCAAATCCTGGGGCCATTCAGACGCCAAGAACTACTACGAATCCGACAACGCGTGCAACTTGGATCGAGGATGTGCGCAATCGATTTGTTGGCTCCTCATGTTTGCTGGCTGAATTCCAAGATAATCCCAATATATAATATATATCTCACTATATTCCCATGTATATAATTATATATAATTACTATATGTAATTATATAAATATAAGTAAGTATATAATCTAGCAATATCTAACATGTTCCCATAAAATCGCCATGTATTAGTTCTTTTGCTGATTCAGTCTCGTTTTTGTGCCACAAGGCTGCGCCCAGTACTTCCGCAGCGGCACGAAGTCCTCTCCCTTCGCGAAGCCACGGCGAGTGGGGGGCATGCGGCGCCTCGACGGCATCCCCCCTTTTCCACCTGAGCCTCAGAAGACGATCCACTGGGCCGCCCAGGATTTTCTTCGGACCCTATCCGATGTCGAATCTCTTCTGGGAACTTGGAATCTTGGTGGAAGTGCCTTGTGGTGGCCCTTTTGGTGGCAGTGGGTATTGATGACCTAAAAAGCCTCAATTGACCCATAAAGATGGGTAAAGCTGCGAGCATTATGGGGTAAATCAGGATTCAAATTGAGGGTCCAGGTAACAAGGTATGTTTGTTTTGCGGGCTACGAAATGGTTGGACAATATAACCAAGCCAGTTGTGGTGGGTCCCCCCTATACTCTCCGTCACTCAGGTGCCAACTGGAATTTCCTTCGTTGCCTTGAACCCTTGGCTCGACTGCCTTTGGAATACGACAACGGAGGCGCTGTTGTGATGAGGGGATTTATTCACCTTGAAGCACTTCAGGGGTGGAAGAGTTTGAACATCACTTGCTTGAACACATTTGTGGGCCTTTCTAGTTTCTTGATATTCCTGGTCCCACCTTTTCTGATTTTGGTTTGTTCCAAATATATCCAAATATCGTGCTTGTTTCAGATTGAAATCGCGTTGAGGAATTTCACAGCTACATGGGTTTGCAGCTGCGCTCCTCTTGCTATTTACTTTATTGATTTTTTGTCCTCGACAAAGTGACGGGCTGCAGCTGTTGGCGATTTCACCTGGGCAGGTTATCCCTCTGGCGGAGGTAGCCCATCGGGACCAGATGACACAGCTGGCTTTCTGCAGCTAGTGCTGGGTTTGATGATGCTGGTCGAAAAATGATGGGAACAAGACGCAACACACTTTGGATGGAATGCCTAGCCAAAACATGACTTCAAATATCAAATGTTGATGTTACATGGTGTTACCTTACTTTCTCATCTTTCTCGTTGCTCAGTGTAGCCTATGTGCATCACCTCAACAATACACATACTTGGGCACCCACATTTTGGAACCAAGGAACAGCTTCTTGGGTAGCTTGGCAAAATTTGGCAACACCAGGGCATTCTGCCCGCGAGCCTTGCATGGGTGAAAGCCCGGACTCTCAGTTTCCTTCGATGCCCACGCCACTTGAGGTACTCTGGGACTCTTTTTCTTCGGCGTGAACATTTACAATCTGTCTCTTGGCCAAGGCCATCCAAGGCCAAAAGGCTGGACAGTTTCTGTAGAATTGATGCGATTGATGCGATGAAAAGTCACCTGGAGCGGTTTTCCTGGAGCATGTTGGCAGATGGGACACAACAACCTCTTTGAACAACAGGTCAACAGGTCATGGTGGAGCCGAGAAAGAATCATAGATCCTTTCTGCTTTGAGCTTTGGATGATATAAACTATTGATATACAATTGTCACAATGTAATATGATATATATATATGTATAAATAAGTATATATATATTATTATATTGTGTGTATATGTATATTATATGTATTCATATGTATTCATGAACATTGTCACAACCAATTACACAGTATTTCACCTATATATACTTTGTACCCGCGTTGCAATTGGTCGTGATCTCCTTGTGAACTGATACGACTAGACATTTGGCCAACCTCAAATCCGTGATTTTGGTGATTAAGTCCCTATTGTTGGTGGTTACTTGCAATGTTACATCCCTCTTCAGAGAACATCCAGATGTTGGGTCAGATGAATCAGTTGACTACGTTGATCTTTGCTGTGTTTGGACTGTTTGGACTGTTTGGATGAGGCTGATCAACATCCAGAACTGTCCCACCAGCACGGCTCTGGCCCCATGCATCGTCCAGGGCACTTGTGCTCACGTGTCTGGGCGTGTTGAGGGAGCCATTGCTTAGCCGCTTGCCAAGCGGGGGCGATTTCACAGGTCCTGCTGCAGATTTCAATTCTGAAGCGATCAATGACTATATATTATAATATATATATTAATATATGATATATATGTCTTTTCCGGTGATTGGAATTTGATTCCTGTTCAAGACAGACATGATTAAGATTATGTAACTAAAGTTTGATTATACATACATATACATATACATATACAACTATGTATCAACTTCTTTTGACATTATACATATAGAAGTCAAAAGAATCCATGCCATCACGAAACCCACCAGGATCTTACTGTCTTGACCCGGATGACCGGGATGAAACTGATGGACCCAGGTGGCTCGGGCGCCGTGGTTTGCGCATTACATTGTGTCCAACAAGAGCCTTGGTAGCTTTGGAGAAAAACAGAGACACAGAAATGATATATGGCTATGGATCAATACCTATATATATATATATATATATGTACTTACGTTTACGTGGGTAAACACGAGAATTCCCGCATTACTTTCTGTAGCTCTGGCTTTCAGTGAAGTATTTCGATTCGAACAGTTCACACTGCCTGCGGGGGATGGCGGTGAGCCAGCTGCAACATCTTGAAACTTTGTTCGTTAAGACTGGATGGCTGTTGGCACAAGGCGAAGCTGTCAACAAAAAGGATGCCCAGGCTATGGTGAATTGCACGAAGTTGAAGCAAAGCCGAAACCTGTATATACTCCTTGGACGCGTTCGTGGTGACTCCGATGTCGAAGCCTTGGATTTGCAAATCCCATGGAAAGGACAAGCGGCAAACAAACGCAGAGGCATGTGAGTCTCATCTCTGTCATAGTTTTAAAAGAGATGACTCCATTTTCGTGTCGCTCTTCTGGGACCATGACGTCAGCAGCACTCCATCGGGCAGACACAAAAAGTACCAGAAGATCGCTTCAGGAAGAAGCCGCTGATCTACACTACTTGATTTGCCTATTTGCTTTGAACCCACAACGCGTCCGGGAAGTAATCACTAGCAGGGCAGGGGCTATTCAATGCGGCACTGGCTCAAGCCACTGGTGGTGCAGCGATGGTCTTTGATGAAGAGATCTTGCCGTGCAAAAAGGGAAGGCCCCGCAACAAATCAAGGATCGCCACGCCTTCAACTGGTTGCAAAAGGAGCTCCTATCCAGCCCGTTGAGGATATGGCCAAGGCTGAGTAGAATGTTGTCAGCCCGCCGGGAAAGGAACAAGGGTGTTCATCCTGGGAAAAGCCAAGATACAGAATCATTGGACAGAAGAGATAGGACTAAAGGGAGACAGAGCTCTCCCAGGTTTAGAAGGAGACATCAAGAGAAGGAAAAGGAAGCAAAGGAGCCTCGATGAAGCAACACACGGGAGGTCAGCCTGCCTCCCAGGGCCTCCAGCGAGGAGAGGCTGGAGAGGTGAGATCACCAAATGGTAAAGCAAGAGCGGCTTAATCGTTAATTGTTATCTATCGTGGAAAGGATGAAGGGAGGAGGCTACTATATGTCTCCTAAAATGTCGTTGAAGAGACCAGCATGGAGCAAGAGGAGAGAAGACACATCCAGCACAAGCAGCAAGCTTCCTGGAATTTCTTAGCATGAAGGGAGTGAACGATGAGATTGCTCCCAAAGCGGCTTGAAGGAGACCAGCTGCTTTCAGAAATAGTTGTGACTGAGATCTTGTCCATAAGGATGAAAGGGCTCTGAAGAGTGAAGGGAGGCCATGTCTCCCAAACCGTCGTGGAGGAGACCAGCGTTTACGCGCACAGCAGGGACCTGCAAGGGCGTGAAGCAAGAGGAGAAGAAACGCATCCAGCACAAGCAGCAAGCTTCCTGGAAGTTCTCAGCATGAAGGGAGTGAACGATGAGATTGCTCCCAAAGCGACTTGAAGGAGACCAGCTGCTTTCAGAAATAGTTGTGACTGAGATCTTGTCCACAAGGATGGCTTTGAAGAGCACAAACCCGCAATGGCGTAGTGCCAGAGGAGAGAAGACGCATCCATCACAAGCAGCAAGCTTCGTGGAACTTTTCAACATAAGGGAGTGAGGGGTGAGATTACTCCCAAAGTGACTTGAAGGAGACCAGCTGCTTTCGGAGAGTGTTGTGATTGAGATTTTGTCCATAAGGACGCAAGGGCTCTTAAGAGTGAAGGGAGGGTATGTCTCCCAAAGCATCGTTGAGGAGACCAGCGTTTACGTACCCGGCAGAGAGAAGACGCATTCAGCACAAGCAGCAAGCTTTTTGGAATTTCACAGCATGCAGGAAGTGAAATGACGGGATTGCTCCCAAAGCGTCTTGACGGAGACCACCTGCTTTCAAAGACAGTTATGATCGAGAATTTGTCCATGAGGATGGCTTTGAAGAGTGAAGGGAGGCTATGTCTCCCAAAGCGTCGTTGAAGAGATCAGCTGTTACGCGCACAGCAGGGACCTGCAAGGGCGTGGTGCAAGAGGAGAGAAAACGCATCCAGCACAAGCAGCAAGCTTCCCGGCATTTCTCAACATGAAGGGAGTGAGATTACTCCCAAAGTACTTTAAGGAGACCAGCCGCCTTCAGATATAAGAGATAGTTGCAACTGAGATCTTGTCCATAAGGATGCAAGGGCTTTTAAGAGTGGAGGATTACTATGTCTTTCAAATCACCGTTGACAAAGCCAGCTTTTAAAATCACATAGCGGAGGTCGAAAACAAAAGAGTTGAGCAAAAAGGAATCGGCGCGTCCAGCGCATGAAGCAAGCGTACTGAAACTTCTCAACCTAAGGGGGGCGAAAGTGCTCCCAAAGTAACTTGGAGAAGGCAAGGACTTGAAAGGCCCTTATTAGAAGATAAAGGCAGCCTATGAATTACCAAGGCGGCGTTGCCGAGACAAGCTTTCTTTCACACATCAAGAGGTCGTGAACAGACGCGTGGACCAATGAGGAACAAGTTTTCCTAAACTTTTCAACATGAGGGAAGCGAACTTGCTCCCAAAACAATTGGAGGAGGCAGGGATTTGAAGAACCTTTGAAGAACAAAGGGGCCTATGATTCCCAGAGCGGCATTGCGGAGGCCAGCCTTCTTATGCACAAGCACAGGTCGTTAAAGGCATGGAGCAAGGGGAGAGATCCAGCGTCCAGCGCATGCAGCAAACTGACCGAAACTTCTCAAACTGAGGGGAGCGAAAGTGCTCCCAAAGCAACTTGGAGGAGGCAAAGACTTGAAGAGGCCTTATTAAAAAGATAAAGGGAGTCTATGATTCCCAAGGCGGCGTTGGCAAGTTTACTTAAACCTTTTAACATAAGGGGAGCGAAGTTGCTCCCAACGCAGCTTCGAGGATGCAAGGACTTGAAGAGCCATTAAAGGGTAAGAAGGGTGACTAATCTCACAAAGCGGCATTGAGGAGACCAGCCTTCTTACGCACCAGGCAGAGGTCGCCCAATGCGTGGAGCAAGGGGAAGCCTCCCTTAGCCTTAATCGAAGTCCCCAATCACGATCAAGAAGATTTGGACATAGGAACGAAAGGCTTTCTTGGCAGTTTGATAAGTCAGAGGGAGAAAGAGAAGCTTTCGCCAGGGCCTAGTACCAGCTTTCACGTACAGCGAGTTGTGTGCGAAGTCAGCCAGGACTAGGAGGGCTAGAAGCGCTTCGTGAGGAAGAGCGGAGCTTCAACAAATCGGGCTCAAGCCCAGTGCTCTCGCCGCATGGGAGACAAGCCAATTCTCCCAGAGAGGACGCGGAGGAATTTGAGATGGAGCAAATCTTTCACAGCAAGGAGACCGGCATGGACCCAGGGACCCAGATCCCAACAAGAGGAACTGACTTCTGAGGAGAGAAAGAATAGGCAAAAAAGGTGAAGCGATCTTCTTAGAAGGTGATGCCATTCTGGGTGCAGTTCAAGGGGAAGAAGAGCTGAAGACGTTGGTGAGAAGATGCAAGAAAGCAAGGGAGGTGAATCCTCCCAGGGGAAGCCGAGGCAACTTGAGAAGGTAAGGGTGATGTGAGGTGAGAGCTGGAAGCATCAGGCTCCAACCAGGATGTGGGAAGCATGTTCATTGATGAGGGAACGATGCAAATACAGGGGAGTCACTGCGGGGCTCTAGGGACTCCCATCCAATGCAAGCGTTAGTTGATGAGGGGAGCTGTGCAGATAGGTTGGTGGCTCCCAGAGGCTCATCAAGACGCGGTGGTCCTCATTGGATTGCAGGTTGCAGAGGTGAGTAGTAACCACTGTAACCACTACACAGCATGGTGGAAGATGCCCTGATGCTTTTGGAGCAAGCTAAAAAATGCAGGCCAAGGTCCATGGCAGGAATTGGCGATAGTTCTCCTCCTCCTGTCGCAGGGCATCTGTCATGAGCGCCTGAAAATCGTGAAAGGGACTGTCTTTGACCTTGGCGCGATCAAAGGATTAAGAAAATAGTAGGTGATTTGTTTTTACTTTTGGATGGCTGTGCCACGGGACCCAACCCTTTAACTGTGTTCACGATAAGGTTGTGCATTAAATTGCAGCAGCGGAGTCTTGCTCTACAAGTCTCTGTAAAAAGTTTTGCCACGTCGTTGCACCCCAAACTCAATCTTCTGGAGTTCTAGAATCTGGTGCAGGAGAGGTCCTGTACAGGTCAGTATAGCTTGATGAGGTTATCCTGCCAAGGGTAGAGCAGCGAGCGCAATAGTTACTTCTTTTGTTGGGGTAAAGGCTTGGTTGAAGTGGGAAGAGCTGGCTTGCATGTGATTGGTGTTTCCATGGGTTTGTAATTAGCGTGTTTCCCGGGCCCGCTTGCCTCATATCGATTCTGGGGCAAGGCAAGATATGTCCTTCAGGGTTATTTCAACTTTGTTTAACATGCAAAATGTACTTTAAAGCATTGTTCTTCCCTAAGCCGCCCACAGTTGGCCAACCTATCGTTTAGGTTTAGCTGCCGGCAGGGGCTACGACTGGCTCATTCAGATCAGATAAGAGGCCGCTTCGGTGAGCCAGGGCTCCATAGGCACCCCAGATCGGTGAAACAGGCCTCGCTTGGGGCAAACGTTCAAGTTGCGACACTTAGCGCTGCAGGTTTGTCATGCCTGAGCTGTTCCGTTTTATTGCGTCGAATTTCCGAAAGCAATGTGAACATCCAGGGAGTGGGATCTCCCAAACGTTCATCATCGACCTCTTAGGCGACATGGCCGCTTGGCAGGGCACAAACGCGCCTTCGAAGCCAAGGGAAAGAAGAGAGGTTATCCGGCGGTTATCTCAAGATTCCTACTATTCCCTTCTTGCCCAGATTCAGTTCTTAAGGATCTTTCTTCCAAATTTTGCCAAAGACTTGTTCCTCAACCTCCTCAACCTCCTCAAGACAAGAACCCCATTAATTGTCTCCCAATGAAAGCCACAATCAAATTGTATGGCTTGGTATCGCTCAAGGGAGATGATGCGGAGAATTGGGTACTAGCTCGTTTTTTTTTTCGAACTGGGCCTATGTGGATACAAACTAATTTCCTGAAGGTCTCAGCAAGCAGCGAAGAATTGGCTTAGCTTGAACTTGTAATCTTTTCAATTCTAATGATTTGTTCATATCTGCCAGAAGTGTTTCTAGCATTCACTAAATCCGGCAAGCAAAGGTCTTTCTCCTAAATGCAACTGCGGGCACGGAAATAGCGGACGCTTTTCCGTAAAATGTTCAACCCCTCTCACTTTTAAGCCTCAAGTTGAGAATTAAAGGACCGGAAGTCTATTTTTTGTGCCATAAGAATCTCACACGGGACTCACCTCAAATGTGAGTCTTTGGATGTCCTTGGATGAAATTGTGGCCGGCTGGAATTTTTAAGTCCCTTTTTTACTACCAGTCCCAGATTGTTTTCTGCGGTATGGTTCTATGCCATCGCTTGAGCAAGCTCTCTGTGAGAGCAGGACTGGGGGACGTGGAATAGGAGCGCAAAGCGCAAAAAAGATGCGAAGATAAGGGAGGAGGGCCCCCAAATTTTTCAAATGCCATGAGTATTTTGTTGTTTGGAATGGTTTAGACTTGTCTTGTGTCTCGCGCTGGGTTTCCCTCGGTCTGGCGAGGACCCCAGGGGGCACGGGCAGTATTATACTGGACCCATAAGAAGGCGGGGAGACCATCCGCTGACAGTCTAAACATTCGTTTTACCACCGACCTTTTTTTCAATGCGATGTTTTTCTGTGTATATAGAATGTTCTAGACCTGTCTTGTGTCGCGCGCTGGGTTGCCCTCGGTGTGGCGAGGACCCCAGGGGGCACCAATAGAAGAAAGAAGGCGGAGAGACCTTCTGATGACAGTCTAAACATTCGTATACTGCCAAATTTTAAATACAATTTTCTCTGTTTTGAATGTTTTAGACGTGTCTTGTGTCGCGGGCCTGGGCTTCCCTCGGTGTGGCGAGGACCCCAGGGGGCACGAAAAGAAGGTGGGGGAAACCTTCAATGACAGTCTAAACATTCGTTGCCGTTTCCATTATTGTTTAATCTGACAAAATTGGCCTGCATAGCAAAGTAAAACAGGGAGTTGCGAGTGTTTGTACTTACGTTTACGTGGGTAAACACGAGAATTCCCGCATTACTTTCTGTAGCTCTGGCTTTCAGTCCCAAACCCCCCCTCCCAAGCGAGGAGCGCAAAGCGCAAAAAAGATGCGAAGATAAGGGAGGAGGGCCCCCAAATTTTTCAAATGCCATGAGTATTTCGTTGTTTGGAATGGTTTAGACTTGTCTTGTGTCTCGCGCTGGGTTTCCCTCGGTCTGGCGAGGACCCCAGGGGGCACGGGCAGTATTATACTGGACCCATAAGAAGGCGGGGAGACCATCCGCTGACAGTCTAAACATTCGTTTTACCACCGACCTTTTTTTCAATGCGATGTTTTTCTGTGTATATAGAATGTTCTAGACCTGTCTTGTGTCGCGCGCTGGGTTGCCTTCGGTGTGGCGAGGACCCCAGGGGGCACCAATAGAAGAAAGAAGGCGGAGAGACCTTCTGATGACAGTCTAAACATTCGTATACTGCCAAATTTTAAATACAATTTTCTCTGTTTTGAATGTTTTAGACGTGTCTTGTGTCGCGGGCCTGGGCCTCCCTCGGTGTGGCGAGGACCCCAGGGGGCACGAAAAGAAGGTGGGGGAAACCTTCAATGACAGTCTAAACATTCGTTGCCGTTTCCATTATTGTTTAATCTGACAAAATTGGCCTGCATAGCAAAGTAAAACAGAGAGTTGCGAGTGTTTATAGATACATTTTTAGTGGGATTGATGAACATCCATTTTATCCCAGCTATGACTTGGGGTGAACAAAAGGTACCAGGGTGCCATGACCCATCCCCAGATGATGTCATCAGCATGTTGGACCGTGTTGGACCATGTTGGGTACCCCATTTTTGAGTTGGACCATGTTGGACTGTCAGGAAAATCATGAGTGAAGCTTCAACATGGATAGACAACGATTTTTTCTCTGAAGTGTTTCAGTTTTTAATGGAATTCAAATGGTGGCTGTTCCATTGCTGTGGTGAAAAAAGTGCCGTGACCCTGAGTCGAGGCTAATGCTCGCAGAGGATTTGGCCAAAGAAGCCATCAAAGCAGATATTCCAATCAAGGACAATTGGCAAGGGAGGGTGCTGCCAAGAAATGGGGCATAAAGATGTATGAAGGATGGTGACGGAAAGAAGATGCGGTTTTAGTTTCGATGTGACTTATTTGTGTAGTCATGTTATGAGCTTCAGGACATCAAACTGTCATTGTTTAAAGTGGATGAGGTCCATGAGTGAGGAAATACCATGGACAGAGAAGTAGAAGTAGCTTTCCTGCATGCCCCCTCCTACCTCGAAGTTGCTGGGATAGAGAAAAATTAGGGGCAAGTACCACCATGGTGGATCATTCTGGAAATCACGTGTGACTTCATGCATCTTAAGTACGTCAATTTGCCCAGACAGGATCTGTAAATGTTGGTATTCACCACATCCAAATTCGGATGCCATCAGGAAATAGCAAAATGGCTGGGCAGCCTGCTTGCATTGAAGAGAGAGTGGGTTGCATCGAGTCCTAGTTTTGTGGATGGTCATCCTCATGATCTGTTGCATTTGGGTAATGTTTCCTCGATTCTCTCTGATTCTGCCAGGTTCTGTGGAACATTGTGGAACTGTCCCCTGCTATTCCTGTGAGACGATCAGATTCAGTACAATTCAGCACAGCTGAGGGGTTGAAACGGTGGGTGCGGCCAAGCAGATCATTATGGAAGTTGCTGAGACCTCCTGCAATGATATGCACCTTGCCTGGTGAGCTATGCCAGCTATGCCAGCTATGCTAACTGAAAACTTGGAGGATGCTGCCGTTTGGGGATCCGCTGTGCCAAGCGGGTGTTCCTTTTTGAAGAAACAGGGAATGGTTCAAAACACACCAAACTTGAAGAGTCTGTTCACCATTATTTACCAATAAATACTCATTAATTATAACCATTAGTTAACCATTAATTATAACCACTAGTTAATCATTAAATCACCATTCAATATCCATTATATCACCATTATATATCCATTAGTTAAATATCACCATTAGTTAAATATCACCATTAGTTAAATATCACCATTAGTTAAATCACCATTAGTTAACCATGAATTCACCATGCGCATCCCACCACAGTCTGTGAACAGCCGCGCCTGCAGCCATCGCGGTCGGAGGTATGCCGAGCTCATCACTGGACCCAACGTGGCTTGGTGCTGGGCAGCTGAAAGGGTTACAATGATTAGAGGTACCAATTAAATACAATGTAAATAAATATAATGAATTATCATAAATATAGTTAATATAATGATCTATCCATATAACATATTATACATGATTTATTTTTATAGGTTATTATAAATATAATGACACTAATAACCTATAATATGTAGGAATAATGATAATATGTAACATAATAACAATAATAATCATAACACTATTACATCATAATATAATAACAATAGTAACATAAAATTGGTATAATCATAGATGCCAAAGCACCAATAATAGTCATAGTAAACATTATATAATATATATATATATATATTAATCATAATCATGATCATGATCATAATCACAATCATACTATAACATGATATAACATGATATAATATAAGGTAGTATAGGTACCAATAAATGCAATTATAGGTACCACTATAATTACCCATAATCATAATAAGAGCCATACCAATATTCATGGATAGGCCAGGTTTCTCATGCGACACCTGGACACCCCCTGGATTATCAGCAAAGTAGATGGACCAGTTTCCAGCTGCAAACCGGCAACTGTCAATGACCAACCGGGCACAGCCAGACACAGCAACATGTCAGAATAAGAAGAGTATATAATGAATGTATATGTATGTATACATATATGTACATATATATACACACACACGTGAATGTTAGATTCAAACCATCCATCATCTACAATCTATCCATCATATATCCATCAGATATCCATCAGATCCGTTCACATCCATCATCTATGACTCGGCATGACCATTTAGGACACGGTGCACGGCATGGCCTCGGACTGGCTCGGCAAGCGCCATGCGGAGTATTACCTGGAGCAGGTAGGGAAATCCGTTGTGGGTTTCAGAGATTTCTGTGGATTCCTAGTGCAAGCTTCAAAGGACTCCTATGATTTATGGATTTCTATGGGTTTCTATTGGATACCTATGTATTTCGATGATTCATGATTTCTGCCAAGGTTGGATCTATTGTTTTTTTTTCGCCCGGGATGATGTTGTTTCCCTCATGGGGCTGTGATGAGCTCACAACTCACCGCGATTCCAAAAGCTTGTGCTGTTCAGGTTGAGAATCGAAACCTCAACATCACGTGGCAGGCTTGCGGGTGCCACCTCCCAATCTGACACCAACTGATGTGAGGTCCAAAATACAGCAACATAGTTACCCTCTGGTAATTTAACATAGCTATTGAAAATGGCTATTTATAGTGGATTTTCCCATTAAAAATGGTGTTTTTCCATAGCTATGTTAGTCTACCAGAGGGTATTCATTTGATAGTGAAAACATGAACATATGTTCCCAAAAAGATCCTGGTCCCATAAAAATAAGATCAACAGATCCACTGGGCAGTTGCTCCCATGTTTCCACCCGAGGCCAAGATGTATAGCTGCCACGGCTGCGTGCGGTGTATGACCCTGCACTACTTCACCGACATCCAGCAGCCGGGCGGCAGTTAGGGGATGCCCGCGGCATCCCGTGGCGAACATAGTCAGCAAATGTCAGCAACTTTTTGAATGAACAAGTGGATACACATGGTGAAATTGGGAGAACGGAGTACGGTCTATTTTTCGGGGTTTTCACCACATTGGATGGTTGGGAGGGATTATTAGGAGTTTGGTTGCTGTTCTACAAAATCAAGATGAACTCCTGACTATATCTGAAAACCGAGCTCACTAGCCAATGGATCTGTTCAACAGTACAGCTAAAGTGCCTTTCGGCCCAATTTTGTAAACACAAACTCGCTGCTTTTAAAGTTTAAGTATTCCCCTTGGATCCCCTTGGTATATGCCGATATGTTCAAGCACATGATTTACAATATCATCCCAAAAAACACTTGCCAATCTTGACAAACAAGACATGTCCCTCATATGTACCCGACACTGTCAGCACGTCGCTGTGAGGAATGTGGTGGAGCTCATTGAGATCTTCCTGTTGATTGTGCCTTGTCCTGGATGGTGATGGCTTCATTTTCTGTTGCCGGGGATGAAAATGGATGAAAGGGAGCGCAAATGGCAGAGATCAGTCCCATCTACTATCCAATTAGGGATAATTAAAGTCTTCAATTCGCGAGAAAATACCTAATCTGCTTCCAAGTCTCTAGTCTAATCAGTCTAATCCTATACTTGCCTGAATTTCCACAGTTTCCAATTAAGCTCAGGCCACAGTATGTGTTGCTGATGGAATTTCATCCCTGTTCCCATTTCCACAGTCCTTCCGCCATCGGTCTGAGATCGCCAGCTACATGAGCGCCTTGTTAGCCCAGATGATGGGCAACCAGCTGGAGAACTGTCCCATGATCGACGTGACCTTCGAGGTCGGTCAGATTGGAGCTGTGGGCAGCAAAAAGCCACGGATCATAAATGGGGTATGTAAAATGGATCAAAATGGAGTATAACAAGGTCCATTTACATGGGTTTGTGTGAGCATTTGGGGAAATGTGCCATGGCATGTGTGTTTTTTTGTGTTTTTTTGGATTCTTTTATATTCTTTTGGTATCAGACCCCCCAAAATAACATGGTTTTTTCGACCACTTCGGACAGAACCGGGTTGCCCTTTTCTGCAAGGCCGATCCCACGCAGAAACAAACCGTGGATTTGCACGAAACCGAGAAGAGCTGCTTGGGGATGCGCCTTGGTGGGATGCGCTGCCTAGTGCACGCTGTCGGAAACCCCGCAGGTGCCCTATTTTTCCATGAGGATATTGACAACATCATGACTCATCATGGTTTGGCAGGGCAATGGACGAAATGGACGATTCTTGAGCCAAACTTCAATTAACATCTTTAATGACGGGTTTTTGCGAATTAGTCTATATATATATATTATATATATATATATGTATATTAGCCATGCCCATCAGAACTGTGGCCTTAATGGTAGGAGGATCCCAAGATTTCCTCAAGCCCAGGATCGCACGGACCTTCTTTTTCCGTTACCATTACTGTGGGGTGCCCAAGCACATGGAGTACCTGGAAGAGGCGAGGCACCACATGTCATGTGCACCTGCAGAGCCAAGTTTTTCAAGGAATTGAATTGCAGAACGGTTATTTGGACATTTTGTGCCCCTGGCACAGTATTTCAGAGGTTCGATCCCAGATTTTTCAGGAAAAATCAACATGAAAGCTCCACTATGTCATTTCCAAAAAAAAGTTGTCCTGTAATGTGCAGATTTTTCTTTACGCCAACCGATTGGGGCCACGGCTCAGTGTTGTGCCCGAAGTCTTTCCAGGGCCTGCGGAAGGAAGAAAAGAAGGGCAACCGCGATACCAAGAAATTGTCCGATCCCTTTCAGAGCCTTGGTCGGGTTTGGATCAGCCCAGATTAGCGTTTGATTTTCGTTCGAAAAGCTTGCGAGCTAAATTGGTGCAGAAATTTTGTACGTGTGGACTGCACATATTTTTCGTGAGAGCATTGAAAGGAGCAGGGATCTTGATCCTTTCTACTTGTACCGCCGGGCACTCCCTGGTATTTCTGGGAAACATCCTCTGAGGATCGTGGAGAATGCGAAAACCTGGGATGACTACAACCTCTTTGATGCAACCGCGGTATCTTTGCCTTTGCGGGACTTCTGTTCGTTTCCAACATGAGACCAGCAAACATGTTGTGCAAAGGCATCACTATCTACATCTATCTAAAGATTAAATATAATATAACACACATGCAAATATAGTTAAATAATGTTAAATATAATATATATATATATATATGTAATTATATATATACACATATATAGTGGTTTCTTTTTGTTCAATCCTATTTTGGGGCAAGGTTCCATGATTGGGGTGTCTCAGCCACTGATTGGTTTATTTTCAGCCCAATGATTAACACTCCCATTGTGGCTGGGCAATAGCAACCTGGCAGACCCCCAGACCCCACCAGAAAAGATGGTTTCAAAAAGGAGGGATTCATGATCCACCTCAAAATTGGCTTATGCTTTTTGGAATTACCATAGTTTGCCTGCAGTTACGCCCTGAACATCTCAATAGACGTCGTATTTAAGTAGTAACCAAATGGACGGTTATATCCCAATACATATACATATGTATTGTATATCTCAAATTTGAATATGTATGTAAACATATACATACACTATATAATATCATTTGTATTATGTGTATATATATATATATATTATGCGTATGTTTATATATATATATACATACAATACTCATCCCAAATGGATTAATCCAATATTAATCCCAATATTTGTTGGCTATCCCCATGGTTTCAGCTGGATGTCGTGTTGGGCTACCTGGCTAGGTGCGTCGCTTCAACGTCCATCGTGAGCTCTTGGGGCTCTTGGAAGGCGGCGTGCTGCACATTGACATTACAATTGGAGTAACTAATCGATGGGGTTGCATGTTCCCTTCACCCATCTTAATTGGGGTTACTATATATCTATATTAAATATGGGGTTTTGGCTATTACTTACTATTGGGTGAATTTGCATAGTAAAGCCAGGTTCTTAGTACATCTTCATTGAGACATGGAACTTTGGGATGCGTCTTCAACCACGCAGATGGGTTTGAAACGACCAATTTCAGGCCTGGATTTCTATTGAAAGTCATGTTCTTTTCGGAGATGATTCGAAGTTATTGGATTAGCATTCCCAAAACATGCACCAATAATCACCAATACTAAAATTGTTGGCTGTGCCAGATGTTTTGGTTGTTCTATCCTCTTTGGACAATTATTTCACTGGGAACCGTGTTCTGATGCATGATTAGATGGTAGAAGAACCTGAGAGTACGAGTTGACGAGGCAGTTAATGTCTTGCCAAGACAGTCATTCCTATGTGGCATCATCGATCACCCATGTTACAATGTTGATAGAACCTCCACCACCTCCCACGTGACTACGGAGGGTCAATCTTTATCCACATCCATCTTCTGGAAATGAAGATAATGACGGCTGAACAAGCTGTCGATTTATTTGATCATATTTCCATATTATAGTTCATGCTTTAGCAAATCTCGTACTTTCTCACAAAGTTTTGTTTTGTTTTATGATTTTTATGCATTCTCCATGTTTGCCGTGACTTTTTTCCCCCTCAGTTGGGCTCTTCCCTCAGACCATCTGGTCCCAGGTGAAGAGGTGTTGAGTGCCTGGACAGTGCCACCACGCTTGACCAGCCGCCTGGTGAAACATGGCCAGCTGGAAAAATCCTTCAGAAATGGTGTTTTAATATGTTTTAGTATGTTCCAATGGGAAACACATCTATAACTGGAGGATGGTTAAGACTTCATTCAAGGACATGCAAAACTATATATATAGTGTTTGGTGAAGTTTGAGTTTCCATTCTACAGCGCGATCGTTGAAATGCAGCCAAAATACAGCTTGTTGGAAGCGCACCTATCCGCTTTGCACATAGACATATATATATATACATATATATATATATATACACATACTATATTACAGTATATATTCTTTTGCCATCTCCAGTTTTTGACTTTTGTTCACGACATTATTGGCAAAGGCAGTCAAGTAAACTGCGAAGTCTTGAGACGTTACAAACCGTCAGCTCATCTTCATGTCGGTCTCATGATTAGATAAGTTATGTGTTGTACGGAAGAAATCCTGCACCAGTTGATAGTTGGATTATCCCATTATTTATAGGGTTTCAACCATCCAAGGTGGTGCAGGATTTCTTCCACCCACCGTATGTTATGTACATAATCATACGCATATTATGCTGTGCACATAATACCTATATTTTCCTTATGTTGGCTCCATGAGAAGCTAAATACCGTCTCGTTTGGTTCTATCCGGTGGTGAGGAGGGAGCTAAGGAGCTATGATTATCCATATTCCCCTCAAAAAAATGGTAGCTCCTTAAGAATTCCCGTAGCCACATGGAAGTGTAATGTCAACCCTATATACTTGATTGCAACCTTGGGAGTTTCCCCTGGGCAACGCCATCGGACTAGGACGGCAGAAGCTGGCCATCGCCTTTGGGGTGCTGTTCTTCATTGTGGGGCCCATCATCACCGCGCTGCGCAAGAGGAAGGCCTCCTGCAGAGCGGAGGCATTGCTGGGGATGGTGTGGCTAGGCGAAACAGCTTTCACCACGGCGGCACGGCGTGGTAGAGGGATCCCCCGAGAAGAATGCTGGTACAATGGGATATCAGGGTTAAGTCACTGTAGAGGATGGGATTTGGATTGGGTAACTATCCCAACAGGGCTGAACTATTCAGGTTATATAGTGATTTTATAGCAGATCCTGATGTGTGTTTTTAAAGAAATTATGGGGCAAGTTTTCCCATGGAACATGTTGGTGCAACATGTTGGTTTGTCAAATTTGAAGCACTAGAAGCTGATTTCTCCTTGTGAAATGTGAAGAGATGGCCCCCAAAAAAGTGGTTTAGACAATGATACCAGCAGCCATCCGCGGAATGACCATCCCTTGTGGTGTGTTGAGCCAATTGACTACGAATTGCTCTTCCTGCATTGTTAACTATAATATGTCACCATGCACACGGTACTGTACTATTCTGAACGGTTAAAAACAAATTTGTTTTTCTCAGAATCTCAGATTCACCATGATTGTGATAGGTTCTTAGCGTCATTATATAGGTTGCCTTGAAAGCATCGCATTGGGGTCTTCCACCATCCAACATTTGACGACCATTCGGTGCCTCATTCGCTGAGGTTGTGCTGGAAATATGCAACTTGCACAGCAGAAAGCGTTCAAGTGTTTGGAGTTAATTCATCAACTGCCGGTATGGTAGGGTTGCGGGCAAGCATAGAGACCAGGGCTTGGGTCAAAGCGGTTCTGGTCAAAACGAAACTCTACGACTGTAGTGTGGTGAACACCAAAAGCACAAATTACATGAACTTTTTTTTTTAGATGCAAACACAATGCGTTGTACACTGATATCTATATACTGTATTCTTTTGTCTTAAAATCATCTTAAACAATCCTGCACATAATGGATGTTCACCGATTCCCGTGGTCCGCTTGGTATGGGCTGATCCCAATCCATCGCATAGAAAAAACCCGGCTATGCTCACCTGGACCCCATTGGTGACATTTATCCCTTTTTATCTATTTTTAATAGTGAATGGTGAACATGTCCACAACATGTCCATAAGATTTCCATATTCTTCCGTCAAATCCAGTAAAATATATATTAAAATCACAATTTTGTTGGCGAAATATGCTCCAATGTGTCCCTCTTACTGAGCGCTCCGGGGCCTTTTGAGGTGGACTTCTTCGTGCTGAAGCGTCGCCCACAAGCGGGGCTGGTTCTCAGCACACGAAGGGTGTTTCAGGTCACCAAGACGCCGCGCTATTTGGGCCTCATGGGGTGCGCCAGCAGAAAAAAACATTGGATCATAGAATTGGATGATGGGAAAATTTACAGGAAAGCCCTATATTTGATGGTAAAAACATGTAAAAACCCATGGGTTTCCGGTTAAGATTTTCCCTTAAAGCAATCCAGTGATTGGAGAAATTCGAGTTTCTTTGAACATTCTGGACACCTTTTCTAAAAACCCATAGGATCCATGGTGCTGGTATATATGCTAACATTGGGGGTATATTGATGGTAAATGTTACCATATATACCATACATGGATCCTATGGGAAAGAATCTAAAATTCCGTTCGGGTATCCCGAGTTTTTGGACAAACCCATATGGCCCATACACCAAAGCATGCCAAAGTCAGTGGTGCCAGAGGGTCCACATGTCCTCCAGATTTGTCGCTGGAAAGGTACTCGGAGCCCCTGATCAAGATGGACGTTTTGGTGCACAACTGCAGCATTTTTTATGCACAACTGCAGATGGAAACGGCTGTTTCTCGACAAAAACAAACGACGCTGTGAAGTTGGAGAGCTGTTGTCGTGTTATTGTTGTTTCATGAAGAAAGCGTTTGCTTGAGAAGCGAAGTATGCCGGACACCTAGCGGACATTTTGATGCAACCAAAGCCAAAGAAGATCAGCCCTCCATTCCCTTACCATGGCCGTTCTCCTTCAGCATATCCTTTTTGTGATCCCGTTCAGTTGGGATCCACCTCACCCAACATTGCCTATCCAAGGTTCCGTTTACGCGTGGCTTGGAATGACTTAGAGACTCCCCAGACTTGGCTGATGCATCGCTTTGTGGTTTTGTCATGTTTTGTCTTAAAAGGGGTGGGTACTTAGATTGCACACGACTACAGTTTTAGTACGTTTTAGTTACAGTTTACACAGGCAAAGTGATGATAAACCATGATAATTCATCAACTTGCAACGTAAACTTGCAACATAAACGATGGCGAATCAACCCTCATATAGTGATTCATATTGTATATTCCTGTATAGTGACTATAGTGGTCCGTGGTGACGCCGTGGGGTTTCACTTCTGGTCATCGCTAAGGAAAGGTGTTGGCCAAAGTCTTTGGCCTCCCTTTGAGCCGTTGCGGACAGGTCATTGCCCAGAGCCCCACCGGCATCTTCAAGCCTCTTGCCATGCGCCGGGTATAGATGGCCCCTTTTTGTAACGATCAAACATGGCACCATTTGGCTATGAAACATGGTGATGTTCCATAGCATTTAAGTTAAATTACAAGAGGCCAGCGGGTATTCTGGAATTATCATGGGAATATATATATATATATATCATTTATATATAATTGCCAACGGATCTCATCAGCCGTGCTGTGACTTGTGGTTTTTTGTGTGTCATTTTTTTTTTTCGGCCCAGTATTGAATAAGTGAGCTGCAAATGAATGCGCCTTGCTGCACCTGTTATCGGCTTAGGATGTGGCGGGAGCTGGGTGATACTTACAACCTGCTGAATTACGTGTCTCAGGCGAGAAAAAGGGGTGTCAACGAAACAGGCGCTGGAGAGTCCCTATATATAGTTAATATATAGTTATTAAAAAACATATTTAATAATATATTACATATCCTATATATGTGGCTATGAATATCTATATGTATATGGTTTTTATTGTTCTAATCCCACAGTAATAAAAGTGATTATAGCCAGTTGTAGTTATAATTGATTCCAATACTGCCTACTAGAGTTGTATTCCCATACTAATAATACTTATTATATACACTTATAGTCTCATACCAATAATAGTTCTAATAGATCCCCAGTCCCTTTTGACATCCTTCAAGTCGTCAAACGAGTATTGGATGAGGACTCCTTCACAAACTCATCAGTGATATCCCCTTGGCCACACCAATAGTGTGCAGTGAAAGATTGAAAGGTCTCAAGCTAAACATTATTAAAGATTTACATGTATATTATATATTATTATATATTATATATATACATATAATCGTGTATACAGCCATACATAGCCTGTAAGCAATGTATCTTGTGACTCGTGACAGGGGCATGGAGATCATCCACGGTTTAGTGGTTTTTTCACATCGATATCAGCGCATGTTGATGTTTTTTTTAATGGTCAAAGTACTAAGCCAGGGCGTTGTTTGATATTGGGGGGAAGGGATGGGAAGGGATTAAATTTGATTCTCATGGAAAGCTATAGTTGCCTATAATGACCCATACCATATGCAGGGTAAACTGACGGGTGAATCAGAGAAGGGTCGGTTGGACTGTGAATGGCTGGCGGAACATTTGACACCCAGCCGAAGAACATGCCACTTACTGGGGAATTGGGATGTAAGATCATTTCAGTCGATCCAGATCCATCCAGCCATTGGGTGTGCAGCAACTAATTCAACTAATTACTAGTCACTGTCATGATCATGCCCATGCGCGATTGAATTGATTCAACATTCATTCTATTTAGCGAAGTTACTATTGACGAGTAGAAAAAGGACACTGCTTTGAAGGTCATGGTCATAGACGTCCTGTTCCACACATTTCCACACTGGTTGATTGATTAATAGATTCAGATAGATTCAGAGGGTGGCATCTCCATAACTTTTCGCCATCACTGTCTTTGTGGTACCAGAGACGCTAGTGCTCGCGAGGCCTGCTACCTGACCCCGTTGGCATCGTTGAATCCGAAGAAGCCTGGTTTATCAAGGTTGGTCTGCCACGCCCTCTGCCAATTTCCAAGACTTTGATGATCACATTCTTGGTTTCCTCAACAAGATCCACAGAAAAGTGCTATGTTACGCTATGTTGGTAAATTTTGATGGTTAAATACCTCACCTATCGCTGGGATCATTGCAATTTTCGTAGCGGATACTGATGTTGAAACCAGAAAGACGACCGCAATCGAGCCATGGTTGAACAAATCATTTGGATAGGTTTATTTGACTCATTGAGCCCCCTCTTTTTGAAGCAATACCTATAGGACCTACAGCCCCTGTCAGTTGCTGTTTAGGATGGGCAAAGTGCTCATGTACAACGAAAAGGTGGCGGGCGAGCAGGACATACCACGCCGGGGCCGGGGCATGTCAGAGCAATGAACTATGGAAATATATATATATATATATATATACACACCCTCTGGTTATTTAACATAGCCATGAAAAATCACCATTTTCAATAGGTAAACCATCTATAAATGGGCCATTTCCCATGGCTATGTTCAATAACCAGAGGGTATATTGTACATAGATTTTGGCTGTGACTTTGACTTCTCTTTCAGCATGTTTCAGGAAGAAGAATAAACACACGTGCAATAGACAGTCGTGCCCTCAGGTAATCAAAGATGGCAATAGACATTCCCTCATTTATAGATGAGTTTCCCATTCAAATCATTGGAAACTCCGCACCTGAGCACAACCTGGGCAGGACCCACCGGACCCGGGGGGGTCGAAGATTTGTTGTCCAAATACGCCGCCACCGCCGATGATGGGCAATCCCAAAGCAAGCTTCGGCCTCAGTTTCAATGGACACGTTGTAGGAAAATCTGTCTAGAAACATTTTCTTCACTCCAAACATAAAGGTTTCATAAGGTTTCCTGTTCCGTTTCCCTTCCAACTAATTCTGGGACAGCTGTTCGTCCGGAGGTGGTGTTGCAAATGGCCACATGATAGGTGACAGTGACATGGTCAATGGTTACCAGTACCAGTGTGTTCCTGCCTTAAGGCAAGGGATCCCTGTTGAAATCCAGATAGCAACCCAGTCACTCGCGGATCAGGCAATCCTATCCATTTATTCGAGTCATTTGAAGGGAGAAAATGCACCACATGATTTAGCAGCTGCCCTTGTGTCTTGACATGTCTTGACATGTCTTGACCCTAGTGTTGCAACCCCTCGGTGCAAGGTATCTTAGACCGATATGTCAAGCGCATCAAAGGCGCCATAGGGTCGCTGGTCATGGGATGTCCTGGAGGTAGGGGTGTTTCCAAAGGGTCAGTGAAAAGGTGTGACAAGTGATAAAAAACATATATAAAAATGAGGATTGAGACAGACTCAGACCATCTGAAAAATCCCGCAATAACAGTTTTGTCACGATTTTTCCCCATGTGATTGGCATTTTCTTGCCAGCCATGGCATTAGCATAAATGGTGATTTTTCAGAAAACGCGCCTGGCAGGGGAGGTGAACATCTACGGCCGAAAGTTGGTCACCAGGCGGGGTCAAGTCCTTTGGGTGATTGGATTGGTTTAAGGGGAAATTGGAACAGGAAACCATATAGATTTTCCTATGAAATCTGGGTCTTTCCGGTTAAGATTTTCCCTTAAACCATAGATTTTCCTGTAGAAACCATAGATTTTCCTATTAAACCAATCCATTGATTGGGGCCGTGGCCGGCCAGCCTCCGGGCCATCGGCGACCTCGGCAGGCCATCGCGCTGCAAGGATCTCTTCTGCGGCAAGGGCTTCACCATCGCCTGCGAATGCTGCTGCTGCTGTCAGCTGGACGAACTGCTCACGGAGTTCATGGCGGGGACCGCGGTTGAACGCCATGGCTACCCTCTGGTTATGACTAACATAGCTATTGAAAATGGCCATTGAAATAGTGAGTTTTCCCATGAAAAATGGTGATTTTCCATAGTTTTTTGTATGTTTACCAGAGGGTAAATCATGGGAGACCCTTTTTTTCGGATCTCTCAAAGGTTGGTGAATTTTTTGGTGTCATGCAGTGTTTGGGGTCAAATATTACATCAGACAAAACCGATGTTTGCTTGATGTGTGGTATCGGCACCCACAGATGTTGGCTTATGTTGGTTACATGTTGGTGAAGGATTTAGCCATTTAAGTTCTTTGAAACCAATTCTGATCAATAAGCGCAAGTGATGGAGAGGTAGCTCTGATTTAGCACTGTTCCAATCACTTGGTCTTTAAACTTCGACTTGAATCAGGTGCCCTTTGTTTTACATAGTTTTCAAGGATTATTCCATTCTTCCAGATTGAGTTCCAGCTGCATGCATCTACATCGATCTCCAACATCATACGTACAAGTATAATATCATATATATATAAATATTTATATACACCATTTTCAGACACACCCAAATGTCATATTCTTGGTTTTACACGGATATATATATATATACACACATATATTACCCTCTGGTAAATAAACATAGACCCTGAAAACAGCCAATGTTTAATGGAAACTAGTCTTCCAACCCCTATCTGCCAGGGTCTATGTTAATCTACCAGAGGGTATTATTATTATTATTATTAATCACCATTATTATTGCTTACTCAGCATAATTAACACTATATTAAACACTAATTATTTCCTTTCCTTTCCAAATGCTGCAGAAGTCACTGCTTGGACACATGCAACTCTCAACCGGAACTGTACTATAATTATTTAAACAAAAACAACAGATCTTTGCAAACTCTCCCCATGACCTTCGGCATCAGCCCGTGCTGCCCGTGTCCAGGTCTCAAGCCATCGGATCCTGGTGGAACAACGAGCTGCGCAGCGCTACTGTCGAGCCACCGCCTTCCTCAGGAGCCATGGTGGTGCTGGACCAATGTGCATATATAATGGGAGTATAAATATGGTATAATATATATATATAGTTTATATATGTTTATATATGTTTATATAGTTTATATAGTTTATATATGTTTATATATGTTTATATATATATATATTTATAGTCTATAAAGTTTATATAGTTTATATAGTTTATATAGATAATTTATAGTTTATATATAGATAAATATAAATACGGTATAATATTATAGAATGTAAGATTTTGTGTTATATCTGATCTAAAATGATATATATATATATATGTATCATTTGTTGTAGCCTAGTATCAATTGGTAGTGCATATATCATATCTTCATTTGTTTGTCATTGTTGGCCATTCCTCCAATGCCATGTTTGTGTTCCAAGTTCCAATCCATGTATGGTTTGGTACATGAAACCACACCATTGGCTTATCCAGTTGCATCCAATTCTCTTCCTATACCCGTGTGTTTGTTATGTTTGTTTGGTTTATCACTAACTACTGTCACTGGTCTTATCACCTATTTCATTTGCCCGAAAAACAAAAAAGAACCATACAGTAGATGTGTCGGTCTTGTTGGTGATATCCATCTCTTGTCATCATGAAGAAGGGGATGCCCAACTTCAATTTGAAGGTCATTGGTTTGTTGCGGATGGCCAACATGTTTTTAGCAAGGTCATGATATCTAGTTGAAGAATAGATCTTCAAAACTATGTCAGTTGATCACATAGAATAGCAGGTGTTAATGAAAAACCAAGGCAAATGAATGATTAAACACAAAAAACGTCAACATACCAGATGCTACATGAATATACAATGATCATCAACAATATACAATAATCATCAATAATCAATATGTCATATTTCACCATATTCTCCAGTGAATCTCAAGAGCTGCGCCAGGAAGGTTCCCAGCATTCGCGTCACCTTCTTGGCTCACAACCAGGCGCCCTTTGGGCCGGGCCGGGCCCATGGATTCCCCATGGATTCCCGGAGGAACCAGTGGAATCCAATGGATCCCAAGATGAAATCTGGTGTAAAAAATGGTGGTTCTGGTGGAATTTCTGGTGGATTTTACTACTTTTATTCTGGTGGAATATAATATATATATATATATGCCAACATCAGTGTTTGGAACTCTGCAGGTAAGAATAAGATCGTTGGAAGAGAGTTTGTGTGACCTTTTGTTGACAGACTAGGCATGAGATTGGGCCTTGTACCTTCTGAGTTGGCCATATCCTACATTGATATGATTGTTCCTCTTTTTTTTTTGCTTTCTGTTTTTTTGACAATGGATCCATTGTATCTGGGCTTTCCTTTTTTTTTGAACTGTCCAGTATCCCATTGGCATGACCACCTCACAAGAACAGGTACCGAGCGGTCGCGGTTGTTGCTCCGAACTTATGTCCTATGTATCCCATGTTTATCCCCTGTTGATCTGTGTTTGGCAATATCCCAAATGGACTGCGAAGTTGCTACTTGTCCCAAGTTTGTTGTTGCTTTCAACAAAACTATTATATATAGATACTATTAGTACAGTGTCACACCTATTTCTTTCTTGGAAACCTTTGATGATGACCTTTGGGATGGCATGGACCCCCTCCTGCTGAGTCATTGTGTCATGGTCCGTTGGGAGGCAGCCGCTTATGTGAACCTCATGCCCGTGAAGACACTCAACCGCAAAAAGATTCAGCAGGCACGGCTGGAAACACTGGGAGGAACCGTGGCTGTTGTGTTGTTGGATTTAGTACACATCACAATGAATGCTCAGATACATACTCGCATATACTCGCACAAACTCGCACAAACTTGCACACATCAGAACATGTTGAAGATGGATGAAGATGGCAAATGTGCGCAGCAAGTGTGGCAGTTGCTACACGCAGGTACCAACTGCCTTGGGTAATGATTTCCCTGTCGCACAGGATTTCACCGTCAAGCTGCTGCAGAAGGGCGCTCGTGAGTACCAACAAGGCGGGACTGGCTGGGACCAGGACCCATTAGTGTTCCATGGATTTCCGTGGGGAGTTCCGTGGTTGATTCAGGTTTTCAAACCGTTTCACATATAACTATGGAAAATCACCATGTTTAATGGGTAAATCAACTATAAATGGCCATTTTCAATAGCTATGTTTGTTTACCAGAGGGTATATCATCATAATTCTTCATACACTTTCACCCAAACTTCTCCGATGTTTGTTTGACAAGTTCATCAGACCCACCCACCACGATCCTGCTGTGGCTGCGAATTGTCCCACACTCTCAGGCTTGATGCTGCATCAGAAACCGTCACCTGGCAGGAAAGTCGATCCAAGATCAGGTTATCTTGATGTTTGATGCAACAAGTGCTGAAAGATCCAGGTGTTTGAAGGTCTTGCAGCCCAAAACCAAAACGGCACCAACATGTTGGTGGCTCGTCTCGCCCTGTTGATAACATGGTGGAAAGGTGCACCCTACAAGATTGGCACGGAAATCCGATTAAAAGGGCTGGTCGATTTTGCCTCTGTTGTGGGATGTTGTGGGACAACGTATGCTTCCATGCTGTAGCTCACATGGAGACATTCTGTAGAGAATCGATCAATGGAGGTCCAACAAAGAGCGTTGATTCCACCAGAATGGTCTGCCGGTGCTTCCAGCTTTCAATTCTAAAAAGCACTGGCAGTGGTTGCTGTGTCACGCGTGTGAATATGATGTTTGTTCACTGGAGAGAAAACTGATTCTTTGTCCAGGTGAACGATGGTGAACGGACCACCAGTGGTGTTTGAGGAAGGCTACTTTTGTTTGGCACATGTTGGTTTTAACACAGTTCCACATGCGACCAAGTCCAGGTACGTGATTGCTATGAAGAAAGACTTTCTGCTGCAAATGAGGTGTTTGGGTTGTGTGGAGTTGTTTTTGTTCATGGTGCTGTCAGCAGTTCAAGTTTTCACGAACTCAGTGAATGTATCATGCATCCCGTTTGCGCAACCAAGAAATACATGAGTCACCTCAAAGAACTCCGACAATAGGAAACATGTAAGGGATGGACATTTATTTCCAGAAATTGTATAATCATGAGGTAAGCGATAGGACCTTCCCATCTATTGATACTCCGTTTTAAGGTTATGTCATACCTGTGCACATACATCATTTTCCTTTAGGCGATGCCAAGCAAATTTGGCATACATCATTTTTGTACATGCGGTAAGCGATGGGACCTTCCCAAATTTGTTGATGTCCTTTTCGTGAACCTTGAATTCAAGAGATTGCTCAAATAGCTCAGGAATCCTTTCAGAATGCTTCAAAAGGCTTTCGTTTTGAAGGAGAAACCTGCAAATCAAGTCACTCACATCAAGGGCTTCTGCACCTGGCTCCCCCGAAATTGCCTCCATTGTTAATCAAGGGCTACCTTCACGGATCATGAGTGACTGCAACCAAGGACTTGCCGATCAAAACCAAGGTATGGGTGCCCCACATCAACATGCCTCTGGCTTTGGTTTAAGTGGGTGTGTCTGAAAATGGGGTATAAACGGGTGTATATATATATATATTCCTAGTTATTCCTGATATGTATGTTTTCAATGGTGAAGATGATGATAAACCAAGAACAAATCCGTTGGTTCCCTATTTCAGAGAAACCCAAACTTGTGGCTAAGGCGAACTGTTAGATTTTGAGACATGCATCATTGGCCTTAATTTTCAACACCAGCAGCTGGGGGATATAGAATCGGGGACGAAGGGTATGAGTTGGGGCCCACGCATTTGACCATTTTGATCACTGGACACGCAAGTGTCTTGCTATGTTTAATCCCCAATACCATCATTGGAGGCTCAAGCTCAAATTTTGAGATCAATTGTGGGGATGCTTCATTTTGACGATTGTAGTCAGTGGATGTCAGTAGTTATGTTTTTTTCAATGGGCACACTCTATGACATGACTAAGATTGACTAACTACCAGGGCGGACTACAGCGGTTCTGACCACCCCTGGTGAAGTGTAAGTTGTTTCTGGGTGAACTGTAACGACCTGACCACCTCAGTATAGATTATCCTTAGTATGGTTGGTTAGAGCATCTGAGAGCAACTTCCCCTTCTTACCATCTGAATCATTCATGATTCTGTCTTCCAGATTCTCATTCTCCCAGTCATTTTTCTCATTTTTTCACGCCATTTTTCTTGGGGAACTCAGCACCATTTCCCCAGGATCTTTGATCAACTTACTCAGAGGGCACCGATGCATGAAGAGAGCTCAGGTCACCCTTTGGGACCTGCAACGGTGACCGTAAAAAAGTTCAAAACATCCATGGTGTTGGTATCAATTGACATATACTAGACAGATATGATATATATATATATATTATTATTATTATTATTATTTCTATTATTATTATTGTTGTTGTTGTTATTATGATTATTGGTGTTTTTTTTTTTTTTTAAAATATTATTCTATATACATATATATATACATATGACACATTATCAAGTGATATATCAAGAACATAGAATCACATATCAAATACAATCAACTATTTCAGTTAGAATGGTATGAATGATATATCTTGATATAATATACATCATAAATATTCTATATCATACCCCGAAATACTCGTACAGCCTCATACCGGTACGGATCAAACTTGCGCACCCCAAGAAATAGGATTTGGTTGCGATACCCAAAAAGTCCTTCCTAAACCTTGACCCATGTCATCTATCAGACACAAAACCATCCAACAACCTGTTGAAACTTACCATTTCCGACTCGAGTTGTCCCAGCCAGGAGTTGAAGATGATTCAGATGAAGAGGAATATTTGGCCACCATGTAGCTAGGTGACGGCTCGTGAAAACGGCTGGTGGTCACCAATGGATAACACATGCCAAGCCACTCTGTGGCATCTGTTCAGGATATGTTGCGAGGTGGAAATTCAGTGAATTAGTTGGGATGGATTATCCTGGTGAACCACCGGGTGGTTTGAGCCATTTCAGAACGTTGTGTTCAGTGTCTTTGGTGACTTTGCCAAAGTTGCAGATGTTTCCCACCGTTGAAAGGTGGCAGGGAAAGAGCTAGCTAGGGACCAGCCTTTGAGCTGATTACTGTACATCTATGTACATCATTGTACATCTTCATAATATGTGAGCAGGGTGGACTATGGTAGACTCTAGATCTTTGGATCTGCCTTCCTTGGGCTCCATAAATGGAGACATCGGAGAGAGTTTCAGCGGCGGTGGTTGGAGCAACTAGTAGCTTGAATACCTTCAGTCCTTGAGTGCCAGGTATCAAACTGTAAGAAAAAAACTCAACTGATCAAATTGATCAAATTGATCAAATATGGTATTTCCTCAACGTTCAGATATCGAAAGATCCAAAGTCCGCAAAGTCCTAGACCCTGCTGAGCCGGACCAAAGTTGTGGCAGCAGAAAAACACATCAGGTGGCATCCCATAGCAGGGTTGTGTTGCAATCCTTTGATGACTTAGGTGCCCACAATGACCCGGAATGATAGGGAAAAGGGAAGCATTGATTCCCAGAGATCATATCCCAGATATCATTCACCATTCAACGGAAGAGGAACTAGACTACTAGACATGTAGCTTTTTGCGAGGTCACTACTGGATCTGTTTAGGACGTTGAGGATGTAACAAGAAATGGAGATGTCCGCCACACTACTACTGGTGATGCGATTAAACTCCAAGGTGGTGGTGGCGCAGAGCCCCGTGCTCTTTGAGGCTGAAGCTCTGGATCAAATCCCCACGCGGCTAAGATCACGCGGTGTCTTTATGTTAAAAAAAACATTATTTGGGTATGGATCAATACCTATTAATACCATTTTTAGTGGGATGAACATCCATTTACCAGCTATTTTGATGTTCACCAGGGGTACCAGGGTTTTGACACACTGCCATTTTACTATGTCTTCACCAGAATCACCTGATTTGGAAAACATGTCAAAGGACCTGGTGACATCTGGTGACCGTGGTGCAGTTGATTGTCATGAAAAATCGCCTCGAAGGGGAAGCCACTGAACCCACCAGCAAATTCTTCTGGAAGGCTCAACCACCAACCAGTGTACCGGTAAATATCTTATGTTTCATTTCTAAATCTAATCATGACAAGTATAGCTACGAGGCTAAGAGCAAGATCGAAGTGCTAAGTGCGAGTACTTTGTCGGTAAGTTAAGATATGTTAAGATACCGTTCATATTCCCATGTTTGACACGAAGGTTCTGGAAAAGATGCCCCTGACGGAGCTGCCCAAGGACCGCCTTTTTATGGATGTCCCATGAGGGGAGCCAGATTTGTTTGTCAGGGACGTGATATGGGGATGGGTCAAAACCCTGGTACCTAGTGAACCCCAAAATAGCTGGTAAATGGATGTTCATCCCACTAAAAATGTATCTATAGGCTATAGGTATTGATCCATAGCCATATGGTGTTGGATAGATTGGTGGAACAATTGCAGGAAACCATGGTTGTTTTACATTTTACAGACATATTTTTGATATTTTTTGATATTGTTTGGGAGGGGTGCTGTCAATTGTCCCTTAAAGCAACTCTGGAATGATGTTCATATTCATTGCTGCTTAACTTTCCATTTTCACTGGCTTGAACTCAATAATTAGTTTGTCTTTTGGTCAATGATCTTGGGGTCTCCTTTGATATTCTGGTAACCCCAACACAGGCCCAATATACAAGGTGATCATCGCAAACTATATTGGGTGATATAGTCCCATGATACCCATGAAAGGTGTAATGTCATCAATGAAATATGAGTAGAGCGGGTACAACAACTATGCCTACAGAATTGCCTAGAAACATATAGAAATGTTGATTATTTTATGTAATTATTACTGATTATATACTGTAGTTAGTTGTTTTTTACATCACCAAGAATGATTGATATGGCCCTAATGTTACAACATATGGCGATCCATTTTGGTCAAAATCGTGGTCAACAGTCCATGGTTTGGGCCTCCAAAACCCATCAACACCAGGAGAAGATCTCGGCAGCCTTGATCCGTGTGGATGAACGGATTTCCCAGGAGGCTACGTGTGGGGTAGCCATGGGTAGCTTATTTTCAGACAAACACAGATTC